CAGAACCCCACTTCTTATGAAAAGCAACTTAAACCTTCTAACTATTCCATTGTGTGCATCTCCTGCAGCTCTCCCTCCTTTCCAGGGGAGACAATGTGCTGTTACTCCTTGATGGTTCTGAGGGTGATGTTTTGGAGGACATCTTACAGAAATCAATCTTCCTTTGCACATCTGTTGAAGAGGCTCGAGACTCCTCCAAAGACTGGGTGTTAGTTTGTCTCCTAAGCCAGAATGGCAGTCCCTGTTTTTTTTCCCCTTTGTTTGCTTTTTTATGAATGCCTCACTTCTCCTATCTCAAGATCTCAGAGTCGCTGCCAGGTGGGTGGATAGAATCACTGACGTACAGCCTTAGGTGAGTCAAAAATAAATACCACAAATTTGAGCAATCATTTCTCCATCCCTTCACCAGCCAGTAGCAGCAAACACTGGTACAGACCCACCAGTGCTCCGCTACAAAGCAGATTTTCAACAAGCCCTAAGTGGTATCAATAAAGCACAGTTCAGTTGCTTTGTTGATCCAAGTGCATCAGAGTTCCTGCTTCTCTCCTCCAGCCACAGCGGAGTCCGACGCAACAGGAACTTTGCTGCTTCCAGCAAAAACAGTTTCAAAAGCTGCCTCCTGCTCCTCTAAAGTCACAGCAGCAGGGGCTCCTCTGGCAGCTGTGCTGGGAAAGGCTGGCCGCTGCTCCGCAATCCTCTCCAGGTCCACTGTTCTCCTACCTCTTCTTTTGCCCAGGATTTTGATGTAATTAGCTGGCACAAGTCCTGTTGTTTGGCCATCGTAACTAGCCAGGAGCCAACCACGGATCTTGGGTTGTTGTTCTGAAGAAGAGAATGCAAATGCATCAAGTTACAGGAGAATCCAACAAAACTGAACAAATCTACTCTGTAAGTTTTACTAGAATGCAAGTAATCACTTCATGCAGACTAAATATCAGTGTGGATGAGGAACTTGGTCAAATATGGTGCTTTGGGGGCTTTTTTGTTTCAATTTTCTGCCTATTGCACTATAACTTCACATGTGATGAGAAAAGAAACAGAAATTTAGAAGTTTACCTTTGGGTGCTAATCTTAGCATGTCACCAGCACGGAAGGAAATTTCTTCTTCTGAGAGAGCATTGAAATCATATTCTGCTCTTCCAACTACATGGTCGTCTTCTCCACTCGCCCAGTTACTAGACACTGTTTTCAAACAAAAATCACAAGTTTATCTGCTTTGAGTTACGAAGTTTGGTATGTTTTTCAAAGGAAAATGAAGAAACTTCAACTTCCTTGCTAAAACTTTTCCAATGGAGAAGTGACAGAGGTAACATGAAAAGCAAGATTTGGGGAGCAAATCCAAGCAACACTTGTCCCACCCAACCCAAACTGCCACATCTAATAGGAAGGAACCAGAAGTTGAGAGGAAGCATGATTCTGGAATCACAGAAAGCTTCAGCAGGAAACCACATCTTAACAACAGGTTACTTAAGCAGGCTGCATCACCTGCCTAAAATTCAGCACTGTGCCCCAGCATCTATTAATTACTATTGCTGTAGTGTGAGACTAATCACTACACAGGCAACAACAAAAGGAACGATACACGCTGCACTTCTCTGGTGCTGCAGGTCATCTTTACCTGTTTCTTCCTCGCTGTATGTAGAAAGCAGCTTCCAAATCAGGTAGGGGCCTCCCAAGATAACAGCAAAGAACAAGAAAATGGGCCAGGACTTCGCAGAGTTAGCCACCTTGTCTTCAAGGCCAGCACGAGCTACTTTGCCCTCACTCTCAGCCCACAAATCCTCGTTGTCGCAGCTCTGCCGCAGACCCAGCAAGCGCTGCAGGCGCTGGTACAGGTACCTTATAGTTCTCACTAGAGCAAAAGCTGAGAACACCTTGGTGAAGTGAATTTTGAGGCGGGAGAAGTGGTTGGCCACATCCAGCACGGCCCTGAAGCTGTTGTAGACAGCGGAGAAGGTGGCATCCATCATCATGCTGACCGAGGCGAAGGCGTGCACGATGCTCTCGATGGACTGGAAGGCGCCTCTGCTGCTCTCCTCGGCCTGCTGCACGAACCTGCTGGGGGGAATGCTGTCGGCACAGAAGCGGTTATAGCCCAGCCCTCCGTAGCCATAGCTGTAGGGACTGTAGCTTCCATAGAAAGAGGTGCCATAGGAGCCATAGCCTGGGGAAAAGGAGCTGCTGTAGGCTGGCCTGAAGGCGCTCAGGCTGCTGCTTGCCGTTTGCTGGGAAGGTCTTGGCAAAATGGGCGGAGGGATTCGTGCCACCGTGGGCTGGCCGGGCCTGGTCAGCAGGTTGTCACCCAAGTCAGCAGACCTAAACCAATTCAGACAACCAAGATCAGCACCCAGAGTTAAAAGTTTTCCTTTGCACTAACTCCTAAACACCACAGAGAGTTTCAGCAGTGCGGGGACAGGCAACCTGGGAGCCCAACACTCAGTACGTTGAACAGGGTTTGATGGAAGTGAAAGATCTGGACAGGAAACACAGATCCTTCAGGGGGATAAAACCCCCATAACCAGATATCCAGTGCAAACATGGAACTGGAATGTAAACATGGAAACAATGTAAACATGGAAACAACGCAAACATGTTAAACCCTTGCCTGTTTATTGTGTATTTAATGTATCAACCCATGAAACACACAACCCAGAGCCCTCAAACCTGCTGCTCTAACACCCAGGTCATTCTTCTGCACATGAAAGCCTCTCATGGGCCCTAACACGAACTTTTATGAACTTTCCAAACTAAAAGTTTTATTTCCAGCCCTGGTTCCCAGCTCTTCTCCACAATGAGCCAATGATACAGCAGGAAGAAAGCTTGAGAACTCCTCTGAATCCACTCTTAAAGGGTGGCATGACCTAACTGGGAATCCAAGTAATTATGCAACAATATGTGCAAGGGCTTTGGGGTCTCCAATTTCTCCCTCTACCCCAACTACCTGATTACCTGTGTGCAGGTTTTCAAGGGGTTAAATCTACTACTGAGAAGTGTTGGCAGAGAGAGGTCTTAATTTAGTAATTTTTCTTTTCCTTTGCATGCCCTTTGTAATAAAACTCTGGAAGTTCTTGACTGGCATTTGAATTCTGTCAAGCAGCTTTTTGTCCAACTTCTGCCAGTTCAATACAAATATATGTGTTTCATTCACACACTGGCACCCTAAAAGTCAAACATTCTATTTCCCATGCTTACTGCCTCGACCCACAACTTCCCACTTCTGCAGCCCAGGAAAAAAAGAAGGATGTCAAGCTGGAATTGCTATGGAGCTGCTGCTTGCTGTACTATTCCCATACAAGGTAGGGAACAGCTTCCTCTCAGTAAAACTTACAGGTTTCCACAGCAAAGAATAATATTTGTATCTTTACACTGCTGCTTTTTCCGTCACAGACTGCAACTCTCTCAGCAGTTGAAAACAGGAGGAAAAATAAGTTATTACCCCAGCAAACAGAGCTAGTGTAATTCAGTCATGCTGCAGCCCTCTGTCCATTAGACAACTTGGACACCCCGCTTCAAAGCTGCCTGAAGCCCTTTAAAATGGGGTAAATAAACCCAGAATGAAAAACCAACACCACCAAACTGCTGGCTCAGCACACTGCAGAGAGCACAGCGAAGTTTCTGCTCAGTGTTTCGTGCTGGGCCAACCTTTTGCCCAGTTTCAGCTCCCTCCAACTGCAATCACCAGCACCGAGTGAAAAACAAGGCGAGTATTCAGCCAGCCAGCCTTCCTTGGCTTCCCATAAAAAAAGAAGGAGCTGAGAAACACTTTCTGTGCATCCTTCTCCACCAGCAGGTTGGGTTTTCTGGGATATCTCCCAGAAGACGGGAACACACACACGAGACTGACAACACACAGGGATCTTTTCCAAGTCCTGGGGCTGACTCCTTAAAAGAGTGAGTTTGGCTGCAGCTCCCCTCGTCCTGCAGAGGCTCGGGGGCTACAGAGCTGCACAGCCCCAGGAAAGGACCGTGAATGCTCTCAGGAATGGACTGTGAGAGCCCCCAGGAATGGGCTGTGAGTGTTCCCAGGAAAGGACCGTGACAGCCCCCAGGAAAGGACTGTGAGTGTTCCCAGGAAAGGACCGTGAGTGCCCCCAGGAATGGGCTGAGAGAGCCCCCAGGAATGGACTGTGAGTGTTCCAGGAAAGGACCGTGAGAGCCCCCAGGAATGGGCTGTGAGTGTTCCCAGGAAAGGACCGTGAGTGCCCCCAGGAATGGGCTGAGAGAGCCCCCAGGAAAGGACTGTGAACGCCCCCAGGAATGGGCTGTGAGTGTTCCCAGGAAAGGACCGTGAGAGTCCCCAGGAAAGGACCGTGAATGCCCTTAGGAAAGGGCCGTGAACGCCGCCAGGGAAGGACTGTAAATGTTCCTAGGAAAGGACCGTGAGAGCCCTCAGGAAAGGACTGTCAGTGTTCCCAGGAAAGGACCGTGAGTGTCCCCAGGAAAGGACTGTGAACGCTCCTAAGAAAGGACCGCGAATGCCGCCAGGGAAGGACTTCCAATCCTCCCAGGAATGGACTGTGAACTGACTCTACCCCCGGCGACAACACGGCTTTCCCCTCCCCACACCGCACACGCAGCTTCCCCCTGCCGCCAGCGGGGTTCGAGCTCCAAGCCCCGCACGCCGAGCCCGCCCGTCCCCGCCCGCCACAATCCCCTCACGGCGCGGGGCAGCCCGGCCGGGCCCGACCTTCGAGCCCGCCCCAGGGGAGCGGGCCCGGCCGGCCCGAGGGGACGAACCCCCAGGGCCGCCGCGGCGGGGACGCCCGGGGAGGGACGGCCGCACTCACTGGAAGGCGGTGGCGGTGCCCGGCAGCCGCCGCGACTCCCAGGGCTTGGGCGGCGGCGTCGCCGCCATCGCGCCCCCTCGGCCCCGCTCGGCTCCGTTCGGCTCCGCTTCGGCCTCGCTCGGCTCAAGTTCGACCCCGGCTCGGCCTCACTCGGCCCCGCTCGGTTCGGGCTCGGCCTCGCTCGGCCCCTCCCGCCGGCAGGCGCCACGCGGGAGCGCCGAGCTATTCCACCAGCCGCTCTACGGGCGCGGTGCCCCGCCGCGCCGGCCGAGCGATGCGCTCTGCCGCTCTGCTGAGCGGGTCTGTGCCGGTTCCGCGGGCCGCCGAGCGAGGGGTGAGCGGGAATGGGAACGGGAACGGGAAAGAGAATCGGAATGTGAACGGGAATAGGAATAAGAATGGGAGCGGGAATAGGAATGGGAGCGGGAACGGAGCCGGGACGGGGCTCCCGTGTCCCCCTCCCCTCACAGACGAGGCTCTGAGCTCCCCCTGAGGTGCCGGGCCGGGGGCCGCGGTTCCTCCCCTCACGTTGCCACCGAGTGTCGGGAATATTGTCACATTTACCCGCGTGTGTCAGTATTTAAGTCGCGTGGAGGCGAATTGAGGTCGCGCTTACCTAAAAGCCTGTTTGTTGGTGTTTGTTCTTTCCCTTTAAAAGCAGCTTTGAAGTTTTCCAGGCAGCCCTTGGTTTTTGCAGCTTACCCTAAAGCAGCCAAACCCAGGACTGAAGGAATTAGTTTAATTAATCACTTTTCCCCATGGCTGCAGGACTCCTGTGCAGGGTACTCCTGAGCAGGATTGGGTATTGCAGGTGTGACAGTGGCTGGCATGGAGAAATGGATAAATCCCATTCCTTGGGACACAAGAACGAGGAGAATATCAAGTGTTGCTTACAGGAGCTAAGCCCAAAGCAAAGCCAGGTGGTTCATTAGTGCTGTGAATTCCTTGCTGACTCGTTAAACCTTTGGTCTGAACAATTGTGGTTGTCCTTATGTGCCTCCTGAAATTTCCAAGATGCCCAGTAAGGGTGAGCACCTCACTGGGAGTCTCTCTTCTTCCAAAAAAGTGCTGAGTTCACAACATTTTGGCCAGAAAAACCCAAACAAACCAGTCTTTTCTACAGTTCTGGGCAGAGAGAATGACAGGTAACCAAATGAGCCATGATATTTTAGGGGTGAAAAAAAAAGCTTTGTGAGATTTCTCACAAAAACCGTGAGTTCTGTATTGAGAAGGGAAATAAATCTTTATTTTATAAATCTTGTTTATAAATATTGTTTTTCCTTATGATTTTAGCACACTGATTCTTTAGTCACTACAATTTGAGGAGGAATTCCCATTTTAAATTTGCCTTAATATACCTTAGCTCATTCAGTCAAGATTAGCATGTCATGTACTTTATCCAAGATAAAACTGGGCAAAAGCTCAGCATTTCCTTGTCAGAATTCAATTTCAGGTTTTCTAGGAAAAACCTAACAAATACAGAAGCTTTTCCTCCAGTCAGTTGTTTTGTTTTGGGTTTTTTGGTTTTTTTTTGGTTGATCTTCCACTTCTCCCCAGAAGCTTTTCCTCCAGTCAGTTGTTTTGTTTTGGGTTTTTTTTTTTTTTTGGGGGGGGGTTGCTCTTCCACTTCTCCTGTGCCTGTGATTTAAAACAGACACCCCAAGTTTTCTCTAGAGGCCAACAAAAACTCCAGGTGCTCTAAACATGGTGCAGTTACTCAGCTGAGCACTTTGTTTGTTCTAAGCTTTCCTTTTTCCCCTCTCTGTGCTGAATTTCAGGTTTGCCCAGCATGTCTCCAGTGGCAGAGAAGGACAGGCCAGTTGTTGAGCTCCTGCTGGAGGCTGGCACGTGCCCACGCTGTGTGCTGAGGTTCTGCTGCGTGGGCTCCCAGCTGCTCTACAGACACCCAGCCCAGGTCTGTGCTGGAAAAGGAGCTGTGGAAAACTCTGCTCGTGCCTTTAATGGGAAGGAAATTTAGGTGAAATGGCAGAATTGGTATGCTGAAAGAATGGCAGGGGAGGATTGTTAATTACCTGAGGATAAATCAGAGAAACAGGGTGTTGTTAGACATCCTTCTTAGCTTGCTCTAATCCCCTGTCTCTGTGTCTGTCTTGGTTGTTCTACCTTTGCTCAAGTTTAGACTCTCCACAATTCATTTTTAACATCTTTCTTCCCTGTCCTTTTCCATTTTTTATCAATTATTTGAGGAGTGTTCGTTCATTGTGCCGGTTTTTTATCCTTTTGCGTCTCTACCTGATTTTCCTCTGAGTTGCAACAGCACAGTAACTGCTCTCTTCCTTACTGAAAGCCTTTAATGAATCCTTCTTCTCATGTCTCTCATCCTTGCAGGAATCAGAGACTGCAGGTAATTGTTAATTTTTGAAGGTTTTGAAGGTTTTTGAAGGTCTCCTCATACAAAGCTCTTACTCTGTGTGTTGAATTGCACCCCCACCTGTGTCTGCTCTCTCTTCTTTTTATTGTAGTGGCCCACTCTCTTCCTTTTGAGTTGAAGGAATTAAGGAGTTGAAGGAATTAAGTTCTAACATGGGAAGAAAGTTCTAAATGTCTCTTTTCATGGGATAGTGTTGGGGCAAAGATAAAAGTGTTTCTGCAAGGCAGGTCTGGAAAACGTTTTCACTCTTGGATGATAAACAAGTCTACTCAGCAATATTTTCTCTGGAAATTTCTATCCTGAGAGCAATGCAGCTTGGAGCTGTTGAACTGTGTCTTAAAGATGTCTTTGGGCATAAATTCCGTGTTGTTAATGCCATACACTGAGCCTCAGCTGGAACAGTACTGCCCTGTGGAATTGTGCTTGTTAGAGAGGAGCAAACAACCGGGGTGTGTTTCCTCTCTTTGTGTCAGGATCTGCTGAAGGATCTGCAGGAATTTCTGAAGAACAGCCAGGAGAAGGAAGGCACAGGCTGTTTGGATGTGGCTGACCCACCCTGTAAGAGAATCAGGCTTGAGCACAGCAAGGAGGAAGGTGCTGATGACCTGACCCACAACGGGGCTGTCCCACAGCTTCCCTCAGCTGGGAATGCTGAGAGCTCGGCTGGCAAGGTTTGCAACGTGTGCTTGGGGATTCTCCAGGAGTTCTGTGAAGCTGACTTTGTTAAAAAGGTACATTTTTCACCTTTTGGGGGTACTTTTTTGGAGTTTGTGTATGCTGGGGCCTGCAGGATGGAGCTGGTGACTGAAAACATTGAGCAGTTTTTTTGTTGTTTTTTTTTTTTCAAAAGAAATGTTTTCTCTTTTTTTTTTTACACCTGTGCAGCTGGGAAGTTGCATCTGTGGTGGCACCAAATTTTGCCCAGGCTTTGTAATAGTGGCACTTTTTTAAAAAGAAATAGCAGTGCAGGTGCAATGGAATGACTGCAGGGAGCACACTTTCCTAAGAAAAGGACTAGCAGCTATGTGGTTACATGGATTTAGGAGATGACCTGAGGTTCAGCTGCTTTCAAGGAAAACCTCAATGGAGCTCTGAGGAACTCTTCACTTTTTATGTGACAGGAAAATGAGGAGTCATCAAGTGAACCACATGTTTCTAATAACAGCATGAACCTGTCTTTATGAAGTACCACGGGGGAAGAAAATGTTGTGGTGATGCAGCAGACTGTGGATATTAGAGAAAATGTGAGTTAGGAGAGAATGTGGGCACAGAGTGTTGCAAATGCCATCTCTGAGCAATTGTACTGCTCATGTGAGCAATATCAGCTAGATATTTCTAGCTGAAATATTAGCTAGAAAACTCACACTGGCATCTGAGATGTTTAACAGAGTTTTGATAGAAAAGGATTTCATTTAATAGCAGGAATGTATCAAAAATGGGACTAGACAGAAAGCATAGCACAGTTTCTGTTGCTGCAGAACATAATTGTCTCTTTTTTGTTTCCATGGGCAGAATATGTATCTTTTTACAGAATCCACTGCTAAGATTTGTTTCAGAGCTGCTCTTTTCAGCAGTTGTTAAGGCACCACAAAACCTACTTACTTGATACAGAAATTTCCTTCTCTGAGATGCTAATTTCACCTAAAATTTCAATATACAATTGGTCCTGGCCTTAAAAGAGTGAGTTTGGTTGTTTCATAGCACCAAGGGTACTGTTGATTAGTAACTTTTTTTAACAGGACAGAAAAGCTTGTGTTTCAATAAGTTGTTAGTGACTGCTCTGGTTTGTATGTTGGGCATCTCTCTGAGTGTGTGATAACGTGAATTCACAGTGATTATTCTAGAACAAAAATTATCAGCTCAGTCCCATTGCTGTGGTTTTATATTAAGCTCCTTCTCTTACAGGTGTGCCAAAAGGTTAATTCTGCTGACTACCAGTTCACCAGTTTTGTATTTTCTGTGTCACTACCCCCACAGCTGTCTGTCAGGGAGGTAAGTAACTGAAATAACAACTTAAATAATTAAATACATATTTAAGAAAGTAACTGTGGAATGTATGAGCTGGAGGTGGTTTGATTTTTAATTGTTATTGTTTAAAAAAACCCAAAAGCCATGCTGGAAGTGAAGTCTGCTCTCCCCTTCCTTCTGGGTGAGCATTACTGTAATTAACAAAGGGCCTGAGTCACTCCAGCTTTCAGTTAGCCCAGGAATTACTTTCCATCTGAAGACCTAAAGGAGTTTGTTGAAACCCTCAGTGAATTGTTCCCTTTGGTGCAGATGCCAGCCCTGTTTTGTGGATCTTCTCAGAGACAGAGCTGCACAGCTGGTCCCTTTCCAGGGATAAAGGATAATTGGCAGTGCAAAATGCCAAGGAAGGAATTTGAGGATGAACTCTTGAAGTGTTCAGCATTTTAAATGATGGGAAAATACACTTAGTATTTTGCAGTCTTCCTCTGCTTTCTGATGTAAAATGATGCAGAAGTACTGTTCTAAAGGTGATGCAAAAGTGGTGTTTTAAAGGGCAGCACGTAAATCTGTGCAGGAGATGCCTGCAGTGGTTGAGATGTGGTGGAAGCTGCAGTGAACATGGCAGAAAGAAGAGTAGATGGTGTTGGATTTCTGTGTAGAGCTGTGGTGAGGTCTCTTCTGCTCCCACACAGTTTGGTAAATAATCACTGCACGTGTGCTGTGATCTGTGCTGTTAGCTGGGGCATCCTGGGCAAGTGCCACTGTAACAGCTGACAAATACTCCACTCCTAAATCTTCTGCAACATGAGATTCTCTGCTTCCCACCTTAAACTGGGCATAGTTGGTGTGTTTGCTTTGTCCTTTCTGGCTGGGTGAACTTCCCGGATTCCCACTGTGGGTTTTGATGCCTCCCAAAGATGATGTCTGTCAAAAAGCACTTTCAGGCTAGGTGAGTATTGGGATGCCTGTGATGTCCTGGCAAGCCCCAAACTTAGGTCAGACTTTACCGAGTTTTAGTGCAGCTTTAAGCCTGGTGTAAGCTGAGCACCAGGAGCGCCTGATGTTTGCAGGAAGGCTCGGTAGAGGGTGGTGTTGTATTGCAGTTCAGCTGAGGGATGTCCTCGCTGCCTGGGGCTCGTGTTCCAGCGAAGCAGCAGAGCTGGGGACAGCCAGGGGAGTCAGAGCTGTTCTGTGGGCCCACAAATCAATAGATGGAGTGAAATGAGTGAGTAGGAAGCTCCAAAAGTGGGTGTGTTCCCTTTGGAAGCACTTCTGGTTTGGCTAGGAGAAGGTTTGGATTAAGAAGTTCCTGCTGTCCCTTCTATTCCATCCCTCCAGTCTGGTCAAATGCTGAAGCAGCTGTTTGCTCCAGCTGCAGGGGTAAAAAGGGGTGATGGTGGAGGAAGAACTTTAAAAATCATGGGGCTTTATTTACCTCCTCTCTGTTTATCACTTAAAAAAATGAGTGAGAACCTGTTTTATAGCCACAGAAAAGCAGCAACACAGTATGTAATAATGTCTGAAAATACCCAAACCAGGTATCAGAATATCTCAACATGCTTGGTGCTGAAAAGAGGCCATTTGTTAAATTCTGGTTTTAATTCTTTGACCTGCTGTGTACAGGAACACGTGGAATCCTGTCATCAAAGAACACCCAAAGGTAGCCTCTCTCCCACTGCCCTCTGGTGTGACACACAGATTTTCTCCATCATCTTTTTTAACACAAAAAAATCAGAAACTGCCTCTCAGCATTACCTCCATCTCATTTAATTATGACACTTGTCATCCTGCCAAGTCTGAAATGTATGAGGGGAGCTGGAGAAGAGCGGGACATAAAATCCACATTTGCATAGTATTTGTATCTGTGATGCAAGGAAGCAATTGCCTCCTTCCACAAGTAGGAGATTTGATTGAAATAAATCATAAATAGAGGAGTCCCCAGTTTGTGTCAGACAGCTCTATTAGGAAGAGAGGTGAGTGGTGCCCTTCAGAAGGGTGGCTGCTGGCTCTGCTGTGCTCTCAGTCGTGATCCATCATCCTGGTGCTTGCTACAAGGACATTGATGCAAATAACATCTGTAGTCATTACTCCCTGTAGGGCTGCCTGTGCCTCATCCTGGAATTCCCCATCTCCAAGCTCTCTGCTAATGCACTGAACAATGCTGGGGCTGGGACTGCACATGGTATTTCAACTGTTGCCACTGTGCTCCCTCAGATTGCACCAGAATAATGTCCTGCAGCTCCTAATCAATACAGTGCCTGGGCTGGTGTGTTCCTGAGATGTGTTTGCTGCTGAGCATTGCCCTGCAGGCTTCAGCTCTGTAATGAGCATTTTTCATTTTCAAACCACTTCACAAACATGAAGTAATTAGGAAGTAGAGGGATCTGATCCCCTGCTCCACGTTCAGCTGGGAGAGAGTGCAGGGGTTTGGCTGGCTTGGTGGTTGAATGCAATTTGGAATTTGGGATCTTTTGGCTTCTGTGCTTGCAGTACCCTCATCTATTGTTTCCCCTTAATTGAAGGGGAAAAGTAATTTCTTTAATTCTCTTTCAGCTTGGAAGTCAAGAGAGAGAGGAGATGAAATTTGACCTGTGGTCTCATTTTAGCATAGCTACTCCCGTGCAGAAGTTTTGTCTGTTTTGTAGTTTTTTCCCAAGAAAACAGGGAAGAGGAGTGTGATGAGCCTCCCCCTGAGCTCCAAACATCCCAAACCTGCAAGTGCTCTAAATCAAGGCATGAAAGAGGTTTCTTTGTAAATTGGCATTTGTCAAATGCAGCTTCCTAGGCCCAGTTCAGTGGTTGCCACATCCTGTAGTTCAGAGCTACATTCAAGGAATTTCAATGGAAGCTATTTTTATTTATGATTTTATCTGGGTTATTATGCAAACAGGATTACAATATACTTCTAGTGAAGCAGCCTTACTCATCCTGTCTTCAAATGCAGGATGATGAATCACAGTGGATTTGAGCAAACAGCAATTTCATCACTACAACTGCATTTGTTTTGTTCAGCAGTGTGAGGGTTTGTGTATCGTGGATCTAACAAAGTTCATGTCCTCTCTCCACCATCCCTCTTCCCTCTTAATTCCTGGCACTGTTTTTAGGGTTATTCCCTCATTCTTTTAGGTGTACCAAATGAAGGATAACAGACTTATTTTGTTGGTTGAGTTCCTTATCAGCATGGAGAAGGGATCTGTGATGTGGTTCCTTCTGATATCCCTGTGATCCTGAAGTTTGAGAGCGGTTTACAAACCTTTTCCTCAGAATTATTTCCTTGACAATGCACAGTGATTCTTTCAGCAGAGTTTGGGGGAGGTGATTCTTGAAATACATGAAAAATAAAAGATGGGGAATGGGTTTAAAAGCCTGCAGCCTACAGACTGAAAAACTGTTTCATTGTGGTGCATTCAAAGCAAAGAACTTGATTTTTAGAGTTTGTCTCCAGTGAGGAGGTTGATACAGGCTGAATTGGTTAAGTGCTTTCCTGCCAGTCCTAGTGTATTTTTTTAGTAGAGGAGAACTGAAACTGTTGTTGTTCTTCATTGTAGGAAGTTCTGAGGGGAATTTTTCTCTTTTTACTAATTGTTAGTGAACTCTAGCATTTGTACTGAAAGGCCCCTCTGATTTCTAGAATCATTCTTTCTGTTCCTCCCCTTTTCCATATTTAGCCTCTTCACCTAAACTAAGTGGTGTGTTTTAAATAAGGGGGCAATTCTGTGATTACCAAATTATTTTTCATTCCATTTTTTAAATAATAGATGATAGCTGAATTTGAGGTTTTATTAATTTATGTCAATCAGCTTTTATATCCCATTCATTTAGACACTTTTTAAAAAAAATTTCTACGTGGAAGATAACTGATGACTTAGAGTCTTTTTGTAGTTACAGTATTAATAGCAAGTTTCAAAGTGTTCAATGATGCCTCTTTTATTTTTTTAACCCAGATAGGATTTGATGTGAAGAACAAAGTGATGTCTTAGAAATAGGATTTGATGTGAAGAGCAAAGTGATGTCTTAGAAATAAAAACTCACAGCAATTCCATCTTTCCACTTCTGAAGCAAAAGCTAAACTCCTGATACTTTATTTTTGGTCAGGAATTTTCAAAACACTTCTCCCTTTGCAAAGAACCTCTCAGATTGTTGGGAGTTCTGAGCCTTAATTTCACTTGCTTTTGTTTTTTCCTCTCTTTTCCCTGGGCATGGCTGGTGACCTGCAGCGTGCTGCTTGGCTGGGGGTGAAGCAGCAGATGAGGTGAGCCATTGCTTTTGCTGTCTGTCTGTCTGTCTGTCTGACAAGAGCTCTTCATACAGACACCATTTCTCTACATTAATGTTGATTTATAGTCCCATTTGCCTGATGCTTACAAAGAATAAGGTGGCAGCTGGGTTTTGTGGGTTTTGTTTTTTTTTCTTTTTTACCTGGTTTGACCTTACTTGGGGTTTCTTATCTCTTTTGCTCTCTAAGTTCCCAAACAAGTGGTTTGAAATGCATCTCTCCCTTCCTCAGCTTTTCTCTGGGCAGCCTCTGGAAAGACTCTTGCAACTTTTGATCTCCCTGCAAGCTCTGGCATCAGTTTCCTCAGTGCACAGAAAAAAAAAAGAATCCATTTTACTTGGCAGTAGCTACTGAAGTTCCTCTTGAAATCTTGTATGTCGTGTATCTATTTTTGACAGACCCCTGTGCAAGTTATTATTTCTTTGTGATTCAGAAATCTGGGCCTTCCCTTGGCAAAGGATGACATCGTTCAGCTGAAGGAGGCTTATAAGTGGATTATTCATCCCCAGCTGTCAGAAGAGTTGGGTGTTCCTGCTGATGGAAAGGTCTCGTATTAATAGCAGAACACTTTTGTCTTTGTTTCTTCACTCTTTTTTATTATGTGTTTTGTGTGTATGTTTATAAACTTATGCACATGGTGGGGAAATGAATTGTATCCTTTTTACCTTATTAAGAGAGAAACAAGATGAGTGCCTCCTAAATTCACTGGAGGGAAGAGCAGGGGGGAAGTTCTTTTAACCAGAGCTCTCCAAGTGGGAGTCCTGAGGGGCCCAGTGTTCATTTTGTCCACACAGGTCATTGCATCTTCTGAAACCACCAGAGGCTTGTGCTAAATCTCTTGTGTGCCATCCTCCTTTTGGTAATGAGACTTTTCCAGTTGTCTCCTGTTCCAGAATCCCTGTTTGGCAGAGGCTGAGGAATGCTCACACATTCCTTCCCTGCTCTGCTGTCACTGCCAGCACTTGTTCAGGTTCTGTGGATGAAATGAATGTCTGAAATGTACTGAAAGAGAAAAGACTGGTCCTCGTTCACTCTAATGAACACTGGAAATGGGCCTGTTGGGACCTGCAGTATCCCTAAGTAGGCAGTGGAAATGGTTTTTTCAAACTGTTTTCAACTTGCAGATTCTGATTAATATCCTTAAAATCTTTCTGAAAGGCAATGACTGAACATGACAATCAGGTGTTGCCAAATTCAGAAGCACTTTGAGTTGTCTTGAATGTAAATTTTCTGCAGTCGTGGCTGGCTGTAGGTTCTACTTGTCACCAGCCATAGCACTGACCCCAAGCCTAGATTCACTTAGTCTTCATGTTGATTTGTCAGCTTCCATAATAATTACAGGCTGTGTTTTCCCAGGAGTGCCAATTGAAAGCATCCCTTTTGTCTTAGGGAAGAAAAAAACCCACTCAGTTACTCTGAAGATGATCCAGGAAGAAACAAACTTCTTACACACCAAGTTAGCAAAAGCTCCCCACCACTTAGGCAGGAGCCACTCCAGACATCCCTGTGCCACAAAACTTGTTTTTCTAGTGCCCTTTATCTACAAGGCCCTTGAATATTAGCCAATCTTTTCAATAGCCCTCCTGAGGTGTTCTGGTATCTGAGTAACAGAAGTAATGAGTGTTGTTTGCCCAAGGCCAGAGAGGGAATTGGGGGAAGAATTGAGATTACACTGGAGTTCCTGGGCTAGCTGTCAATCCAGCAGGACGTGTTGCCTTGCTTTGCCCCAAGGCCATGCAGGCACTGCAAAGGAAGCCCCTGACAAAATGTTACAGTGGTGACTACTGCAGGGTTTTTATCTTTATTGCACTCCTGGGAGGGCTCTGGGCTTTAGTGACCCTAATAGGCTTTGAGCCTTGGCTGCCTCTGCCTCCCCTGCACAGGATGGGACCAGTGCAGGTCACTGGTGGCTCTGAAGTGTCAGCCTTGGTGACTTCAGAAAGGCAAATGCTGCCCTGGCACACCTTGCAATGCCTTTAAACATAAATGAATGGGTTGTTCTCTCTTTTGTCTCTGCTGTTTTCCTACAACTGCAATATGAGTGCTTGAGAATATCCTCGCTGGTTGTTTAAAAACCTCTTACCTCCTCCTTGTTCTTTTTTCTTCTTTTTTAATTTAGAGTTTGTTTGAAGTTAGCGTGGTCTTTGCTCACCCAGAAACAGACGAGGAGTGCCATTTCCTGTAAGTTTTTCTACATGTAACAAAAGATCTTTATCTAAATGTTGTGCAACATTGTTGGTTTGGATTTGTTACAGAGGACAATATGCAGTGTTTATAAACTAGAATGTGGCCTGCATCTAGATTTCCTCATATCCACATGAAGTTGCAGAGCTTGAAGTTAAACCTTCTCTGGTTAATTCTGCCAATTTAAAAAATCATCTGGAATTCTGATTTCAACTGGAGGGAGAGCATTCAGATAAGTTCTTCAATTTCAACCCTCCTCAAAGTCATTCCCTGTATAACTTTTAAAAATGTGAACCATGTAATTGCAGGTGGGGGAATCTTTTGAGGTCATACCTGAGTTTTCCTGCTCCTGTAGGACACATGGACAGGAGGAAAGGCTTTGAAGTGAGTTAATCCAGCACAGCTGGTTGATGAAAACAGACAGAAATTCCCTGGCCACTGCACACAGCCCCTGGCCTGGCTCTGTAGGGCACCTGCTGTACACAAAGAAGCAAAACAGTTCTGTGAATTTAGCTGCCATGTAATCTGATTTCTCAAAATCTAGCTGTAGTATATTCTGGAAAATTAGGGTCACTCTTCCTGTTTGTTGATGCTTCCTGGAAAACCTAAAGTTTCACTCAGTTAATTTGCAACTACTGCAAGTGAAATCTTAGCATGGAAGGAGGCTCAGCAGAGACGTCTCTGTTGAAACGTGAATTCATTTCTTGAGACTGGAGATTTCTCTTGCAGCCTTTATTTATTTCCTGATTTCTCCTCTGGCCATTTGTGATTTTTGAGTGCTCAATCCACCACCTTCTTGGTTTTCCACAGCTGCATCTTCTGTTTATCTTGAGGTGAGGCATGAGGGAATGGAAGTTTGGGAAGGAACCAGTATTAGAACAATTATTATCAGTGTTTGTTCAACAGCTTTCCTTTCCAGTTTCTTCAAGACTGGGCAAAAGAGGGAGAAAATTGTAGGGCCAAGCCACTGTTCTAAATAATGGTTGCTGCAATCCTGTAAAGAACTGAATTTTTCTGCATCCTGCACCCTTTTGTTCTAATTTATTTAATTTTACTTTCTTCCTCTGAAACCTCTTCACTGGTATTTTCTGCTCATCCTTCCATCCTTTTTCTGGCATTTCAGGAATATTGCTGTTGAACATGTTATGGTGCCAGTGTTAGTGCTCCAAGCAGAGCAGCTGCAGAGGGGAAAGCTGGAAAGAAGTTCCATTCCACTTTCCAATTACTCAGGTTTATTCCATGTGACCTGACAATATCCCTTTATTTGCCTCCTCTTTGTAGCACACTTAAACAGCAATTAAGGTTTGAGACACTGTCTGAAGCAGCAGCACATCACCTAATTTAATTACACAGTAGTTCCTGAGGTGCCAGGGCATTCTGCTTGTGTGAGTGGCTGGCTCTGGGCACATTCTGAGGCAGTGCTTTGGTTTTCATGTAAATATGGTGAATTTGGGAATTATCCCAGTAGTAGTGACAGTCATGGTTTCTGTGGAAGCAAAGCAGGGCTTTGTCTCAACCTGGAGAGCTCCAGGTGTGCTTTTGGATTGGATTTCCAAGCGTGGCATCTGCAGTTTCTCACCTGCTCTTACACAGTTGTGTGGAGGTGGGTGTGGTGAATGGTTTGACATGGAAGATTGAATTGGCTCTTGTCAGTTCATATTTAAGGGTAAGGTGACACTGAAATTTTGGAAGAGGGAGTTTGCATTGCTTTGGGTCACAGACTGGCCAGGAAAGTTGTTTGTATAGAAACAGCAAAACCTGCTTCCTTAGAGTGAAGGAGTTACAGAGGTGTTGAAAAGCACCAGCAAGTCATGATAATTTGGGTTGGAGGTCAGAAGTCTCTCTGCCTGCATACACAGAAATCCAGAAATCATCTCTGCCTGCATACACAGAAATGCACTAATAAGAACAGCAACTTCCTCTACACTGCTCAGAAAAAGTGTTTGTTTCACTGACTTGGCTTTCACTTTCGTGAAACAGCCAATAGTTTCCTTTCAAACAGGCAGAGCACAGCTCGTGGTGAGCACCTGGGGTTACTTTTTCAGTGGGAAATTGAATTTTCCTCTCCAGAAGAGACAGTTTGAATCTCAGGTTTCTGGTGAGCGTTGTCTAAGAGTGGCAAGTACAGATTTCTAGGGTCTTGCCTAGAACTTAAAATATTAATCATGACCTTTATTGAGAAGGATTAGAAAGGACTGAAAGCTACACTTGTGTGCTTTTCCATCCCATCTCAAATCTGAGACACAGTGTTGGTCAGAGCAGAAGAGCAGAGCTTTGTCCATGATTTCTCTGGACCAAGCAATGCACATCTTGCACCATTTGTGGTTTAGGATAAAGGGAATTTGAAAATCTGCTGTGAGCTAAGCTGTGGAAGTGAGACACTGGATGCATATGTACAAAAACCATTTACTGTGCTTGTGAGTCTGTCTATTTCTTTCTCTGTAAGAGGAGCAGCTAATTTTCATTTCTGTGTTTAGAGCCACAGCCTGCCCAGACTGTTTCAAACCAGCGAAGAACAAACAGGTAAGATCTCATCATTGTATTTCTGCTCTGGCATTCAGAATTTCACAGCAGCACCTACAACTTACCTGGGTATTCATTCAGTGCTCAGTGTCTGCTTTTCCTTCATCAAAAAGCTCTCTAGTTTCCAATTGTCTGAAAATAAAGTTGTCTCCTTTATTCACTTCACAGTTCTCAGCTTAGGAGAACCAAGAGCTCGGTGCTTTTGTTTAGGTTGTTCACTTTCCAGGCTGTCCAAAGGCCATCGTTTTAGGAAGGTTCTCTGTAAATACCTCCCTTAAGATCTAGGAATTTGATTGTCATGCATTAAAAGTAGCATAAAAGGTGATCCTCAAGCTCTCTGTGGGTGAAGCAGTTCAGATAAGTCACATTGTGAAGATGAGACTTGGCAGCCAAAAGGGAGATGATCACACTGCAGTTTTCATGTGCTCTGATCTGAGTGAAAGCCAGGATACATGCAGGATGGTTTTATCCTGCCTGCCTCTGGAGGAGGGGGGAAAGAAAAGGGACCTTGCCACTTGCTGCAGACCCTGAGCACACTCAAAGCCACTGATGGAAAAGGGCACAGGTGAGGATAAAAACCAGTCAGAGGGAAACTGATACAAGTGGGACAGTTGGTGTGATCAGAGGGAGAACAACTCCTGTCAGAGGCCATTGCAAGACCTTTGATTCTTTCTGGTGAAGAGTCTGCCAACGTTTGGCAGAGGCAGAGTCTGGCCCAGGAATTCTGCTGACTCTACTCCACCTGACCAATAAGCACCACTCTTTTTTTAGCAGGGTTGTATTGTTAGAACTCACTGCTTGCTGCATTGCTGCCCTTGAAAAAAGAGGAAATCCCACATAAGGAGCTAAAGCAGCAGGGCCTGGCTGTTAAATCCATACAGGCAACAAAATGTAGGGGAATCTAAAGAAAAATACCAGCTCTGAAGAGCTGTCAGAGGTTTGTCCTCATAAAGAAGCTGGGCTTCAAGGGCTGTGGTAATCAGAGAAGTGGTGTAAAAACTGGCTTCTGAGGGAAAATTTCTGTGCTGTCTGTGTGGATAGTTATTTAAACCTGCTGCTGCTTTCAGGGCTTTCCTGCTCATCTGTTCTGTGAGGAAGGGAAGTGCTATTATCTCTGATTTGTGCTTAGAAGGAGAAAGAGCAGCTTTCCTGAAAACACCCAGGAACTCTTCAGAGCTGAGACTTGAATTGTCCCAAACAGTGACCCAGGGTTTTGGTTTTTTTTGTTTGTTTGTTTGTTTTCCTAAATCCCCAATGCAGTTTGCAAAAAAGGCATCATTAACTTGGAAATTCAGCAGCCGGCCATCAGGGCAGTCCCAGGGCTGGAGCACATGCCTGGGAGGTGAGGCTGAGGAACCTGGACCTCTTCAAGGTTCTTGGTGAAGGCTGTGGGGAGGATCCAATTGAATCTCCTCGTGGTGCCAAAAGAGATTCCTGAGAGCAGGCAGCCAGGCTGGTCTGCACAGAGCGTGGTGGAGGGAGGAGGCACAGCAGGAATATGCTGAAATGAGAAGTTCAGAGGAGACACAAGAAAAACCATTTCACCCTGAGGAACCTCAGAGTGGAGCAGGCTCCATCCCAGGTGGATTTCAAGACCTGACCATGCTTGGTTGGAAGGTTCATTTAGAGACCTTCTCTTGTCCTCAGCCTTCCTGAGCAGGATTTCACCTCAGCTGTCACAACACTTGTTCCTCCTGTGCCAGGAGTGTAAATTCCCACTGGAGCTACCCCAGCAGCAGCTGGCTGTGCACAGAGCTTGGCAGGCTGCTCCTGCTTTGCTGCAGCTTGGGAGTGAGGGGCTGCTTGCTCCCCCCAGGAGGAACTGCCCAGCCCCACGGTTCAGAGCCCTCAGCTCTGAGAATCAATCCACTTTTGAACTTCAGAAACAGATTCCTACTCAACAGGCTGATCTTCAGCAGAACTACCTGCCTGCTGTCACTGACACAAAAGCTGGGCTTGGGTATGTTTGTCTCCTGAAAAAGAAGCTGGTTTAGGTTTCTGTTCATGGATTTAGGATTCTGGTTTTAAACTGTTTTGCAAATTTGGACCTGGGCTCCCAAGTGAGCAGTGACAGAACTGCACAGTGTAAGTTTCAGTGTTTTTTGGTTTTTTGTTTTTTTTTTTCTTCCTCAGGCATATCCTTTCCTTGCTTTTCTTAGTTCTTGACTCATTTTTTTCTTTCACTGTGCAGTCTGTTTTCACCAGAATGGCAGTTATAAAAGCCCTGGAGAGGATAAAAGAAGAGGATTTTCTCAAGTAAGTATATACTGAAACTATTTCTTAGTATTGTGCTTTTGTATAGAATTAGGGAGGGGAGGAAAATATCCAGTGGGTATGGTAGGGTGGCTTTAAAAGAACTTTTGATTGTTTAAATTCAGTTGGTTTACTGCTTAAAACATGTTTTCTTTCTGGCAATAGAAAATCACTCCTGATCTTTTAATTAAAAGGATGATTTTGAACTTTAGAGTTTGTAAGGTAAGCTTCCCTTTACAAGAAATATTCCCATATTTCCAAAATGTTAGGAGTTGAGTTTTAAGAAAACACCAAGTGCTGTTAATATGCTAAAAAATCACACACACTGGGAAGCCAAAACCAGGCACTTTTTACTGCTCTGGTGATGCTCCATCATGTTCTGGTAGTGATAATGCTTTACTCTGTTCTCCCTTTTAATACAGGCATTTTCCATGTCCCCCAAGTTCACCAAAGAACCTCTGTGATGCTCTGGAAATTCAGTGCAATAATGGTGCAGTTTTTGTGGCTGGTAAAGTGATCCACTTCTTTGCTGCTGTGTTTGTCTTGAAGAGAACTTTGTAACACTGCCCTGAGAGGATTCTTGCTTGTTAATCCCTGTAATGAAGTGTAAGGAGCAAAGAAACAAATCCAGCTCTGTCCAAGAGTGCTTTGAAAGGGGAAGAAATTATATTTAACTTTTGCTGAAGATATTATTTTGTCAAAAGTTAGAAATTAGAGATCCCCTCAGAGTAATGGTTTGAGAAAGGCACCTCCACACCAGCAAGCTCCCAGCAGTGCTGTTCCCTTCTTGGGTTTTGATTTGGATTCAGAGGTTTTCACCATCTGGATTTCTCTGCATATTATCCCATCCAAAAGTGCAAATCTTAGTGGGATTTATAAAGGTTTGGGTGAGACAGGTAGTGCAGCAGCACTTGGGTGTCCCTGAATTGAGATGATTGAATTTTTTTATCATCTGCCTGCCAGAGTATCTGCCATTCTCCTAGTCCTTTGTATGAACAGCTTATTTAAATACATGCAAAGTGATTATTGCTAAAAAGAACCCAACTTTTAATTTAAATCCAACATACTGTGATGATAAAAATCCTGAATATAAAGAAATGGAAAATGAAAAAGTACCACAGTGAATGGCAGGGTAGTTGATGTTCTACATAAACCATTCCTTATTTTTAATTACTGATTCGACAGTTAGATGTATTTTTTTTTTTTTTAATCCAAGATATCCAGTCCCTTTTAGGCTTTTCCAAACACACTGCTTTATTTTAAGTTGCTTTATTGGATAGTTTTTTTCAGAATTCAACAGTATGAAGAGCAAAACAGAGGGTTTGCTTTCTGCCTGTCATTTAATACTGGTCTTGTCATTTATAGTTTATATCTTGCTCCAACAAATAAACAATCCAAGCAGGTGTTTAATTTTTCAAGAACTAAATCCAAAATAGAATTTATTGAGTACAGTGCAGATATTTTGCTTTTAATAAATGAGATGGGATCTTGATTTGTAAGCACAACATTGTCCCCTTGACCTTACCTTTAGTGTTTACACCCCAATCTTTTTTAAGCATTATGGGGCTGTCAAACCAAGAAACACCTTCTGGTTTTTTAAACCTACTCTTGTTCAGATCAAAAGTTAAAATTATTCGAATGGAGAGCTAAGAGGAAAAAAATAAAAAAAAGCAAACCTAATTCTCCTTTTTCCATTTTATGGAAAGAGAATTGAGCAGTGTGAGGCTGAATCTGAATGATGAGTCATCCTACTTTCATTATTTGCCCCAGTGAAACTGTGTTACTCAGTTTCCCCATTTGTTTGTGTGGCTTTTTCTGCTGCTCGAACTGCAAAAAGGAAACATTGTTCGAGATAGGAAAATATGATAGGAAAGCCCAAACCCCTGAGATGTCAGAGGCCCAAAGTAAGGCACAGAGCTACTCTGAACTCTTTTTATTTCCTATTTGCAAGGGTTCAGGTTCAAAGCACTTTAAGCAGGGGGTTGCTCCTTGGACTTCATGAATTATTTCCTTGTTTTGGGAATATTTTCAGTTCTTTTCAAACCTGTCCATAAAAAAGCTCATATTGGTCATCCATGTCAGGCTTGTTCTTCTGTCGTAGCCTGCCATGGAGGTGCCATGAAAACATCACTGGGGCCACCCAAAGATGCCAATCTCTTTACATGGCACCTTCTCAAGACTCCTGCATTCCTCCTAATTTATTATGGGGCCTTTTTACTCCTTGCATGGTGTTCCTTGTAGTGAGCCAAAGCATTTTAGTTTGGGTTTCTTTTCTTAAGCCTTTGGGCAATCCAGAGCTGGCTTGGAGGCTGGGTTTTTTCACTCAGGAGGGTGGTAGCTGGAGGCAGGAGTGCAGCCACAGGCTCTCCAAGTCCATCCTGGGTGGCCACCCTGGCTACTGCCACTTCCCTGGAAGCAGCCACGTGTGATCCACGGTGCTGGTGTCATGCTCTGCCATGGAACAAGCCTGACCCTGTCAATTTATTTGCACAAAGCTCCCATGGAAGTTAAATGTGCTGGGCAAGAGTGCAGCTTTCACTCGTGGCTGTGGAATGGTTAGAAGTGGTTGTGTTTTACAGGAAGATACAACAAATATTCCAGGAATTTACCTCAGACCCCCTGGATTATTGATGGGGAGCGGAAGCTGGAATCTTCAGTGGAAGAATTAATCTCAGAGCATCTGATGGCAGAATTCAAGGCAGACAGTAAGTCTTCAGGAGATCTCCTACCATACATATTTTTCATCACTACTAGAAGATTTTTTTCTTGGTATCACTGCTAGAAGATGTTTTTCTTGGTAGCTACCCACTTAATATGGCAGCATAATGGGAAAAAAAAAAAAAGTTTCTTTATCCCTCTTGTTTCCTTCCAAGTTAAAGCTTGTAAACTTTATTTAGCTGTGATCTGGGAGTAATTAGATCCTTTTATCCTGCTAAAGTAGCTCCTCAGTGGATCTGATGATGCAGATATGTTGGTTTCATGTGGTAGTGTTTTTGCTTAACCAAACTTCTCAACAGTTGGTAATTCATAAAATGACATGTACCAAGAAGGATTTTGCCACAGGCATTTCATGGGATCTGCCTGGCTTTTGAGCCCCTCATGCTTCTGACCTCAATTCATTTATTTTCCTCAGTGCATAAAGTTCCACAAGCTAAATGCTCATCCAGGGATTGTCCAGATGAAATAATCTCTGCCCATCATTTGTCATCTAACAGATGTGGAATTGGAGACATAGAAGGCCCAAAGAAAAACTGCATTAAATAGTAGTTTGAAAAAAAGCCCTGCTACTTCCCCTTCTTCTCCTCCCAGTGGATAAATTAGTCTGTTTGTAGCAGTCTTATTCAGGCTAAGGAAGAGCTCTTCAAGAACAAGAGATTTGGGAATAAATAGGAATTCCCACAGTTTGTGAAGTGCAGGCTCCAGTTTATGAAGTAGATTTGAAGTAGATTTTGCAAACAAGCTTAGAAAGAAAACATTTCACCTTTTAAAAGCTGTAGAGAGAATTACAAATGTAAAAGAAAAGCTCACCTGCCTTGTTCAAATCTGTTACAGGCTTTAATTTTAGTTCCTCTGGAAGAGAAGATGTGGATGTAAGGACACTAGGCAATGGTAAGGCTTGGGAAACATAGAGATGAAATGGGTGTGTGGAACTCCTCTGACAGATCCTGCTGAATGCCAAGTGTGTGACCAGGCATGCTTTGGAATTTTATCTCAGAAGCATTTTGGTGAAATTTAGATATTTATTCCCAAAATCCAACAGCTTCATAAAACCAGCTTGAACCAGGAGCCCTTTTTCAGTGGCCTTGGCTGCATGGGAAGGCATAGTTAGTTAAAAGTATTTTATTTTATTCACTCCCTCCTTGTAAGCCATTTATGTCAGACTGATTCCTCTCTTGTTTTCTGCTGGATCCTTCTCATTCCCTCACTGTGACTGCATGAGGGAATTGTTTTCTTTTTGAACCTGAGTCCCTTCTAAAGGTCAGCTGCTTTCCAACACACTGGAGCTGCTGTAGCCAAGGGAGGAGGGGAGGAAAAGTAAAAATGCACAGTTCTGTGTTTCAGTAGCTGTCTGATCTGTAGTGTGATTCTTGGCATGGCTTGTGCTGGGGATTGTCCTGGCCCTGAGCAGAGTTACAGCTCTGGCAGCAGATGTTGAGCTGAGGGAGTGGGATTTAACATTGCCATGCACCTGGGCATTGCTGTAGGTGACAGAAAATAAGCTAATTAGCTTTTTTTTTTTTTCTTATTTTATTTTTTAATTAGCACAAACTTGTACAAGATGTCTTCTGGGAAGTCATAATTTGCACTTATAGCTGATACTGGGGTTTAGTAGCCAAAAAAAAGTCCCTTGTTTCTTCCCTTGCATCTGATGCTCCATCCCTCAGCCCGCCAGTCCCTCTCCCTGTCTGTGTAGCAGCAGACAGTGTTCACACCTTGCAGCCTCGCTGTGTGAATGCAGCACTCATTTAGAACAACATGTTTTTGTGTTTGATGCCCGTGCCCGTGGCCAGGCAGGCCCTTTGCCATGGAGCTGCTGAATCCCCGCAGGATCCGCTTCAGCGCCGAGGAGATGAAGAGGCTGCAGCAGGTAAAGCACCGAGCCCACAAAGCATGTCCTGCCTCTCCGGCCCAGCAGCTCTGCTCACTGATTGCTTTTTTTAAATATCACAGGCAATTAATGACTCTTCAGACAAAATACAGGTTCGAGATTTACAGCTCGTCACCAGGTCAGTGTTTGTCGTCGCCGGCGAGGGATTTCAAAGCGGCACTCGGGGAGTTGGGAAGTGTTCTTGCTCACAGCCTTGTGTAATTATGCTTCTGTTAAGTGAGTAATTAATTTCTTTTGTTTAGAGAGGCAATTGGTCGTATGAAGGAAGGTGAGGAGGAGAAGACAAAGACCTACAGTGCCTTGATATGGACAGACAGAGCAATACAGAGAGAAGACATTGCGTTTCTAGATGATATCAAGGTAGCAGGAGCTCTTGTTGCTCATTTCAATAACACCTGTCCTGGTGCCCTAGGGAAGGCCATCCATGGGCCTGTCTGTTGCTCTGTGCTTGGTTTTTGTTTCGTTTTTGGTTTTTATAATCAGGGTTTCTCTTGCTATAGGGACTTCCATGCCACCCTTCCTTCCTTCACCAGTCCCTCCGGCAGGACACGGGGGCTGGCTGTCAGCAGAGACAACAAATCCTTGTGTAATGTTCACCTTCCAGGAGACCAAATCCTGGGAGAGGAGGAAATCTCTGCCCCTTTGTTACCTTAGATAGTGTCCTGTGTAAGAGAAGGGAGCAGAAAAGCTCTTTTGTTGTGCTCTAGAGCCATTTTGCCACAGCTGCAGCACTTTGGATGTGGAAATGTCTACGTCAGAGTGCAAAGAGGCCTCAGGAAGGCTCAGCATGTGCAGGAACGAGAACTTTCTCCAGATGTTGGCCTGATGCAGAAGTGGGTTCAGTTTTTGGTGTGTTGCACCATTTCCTATAGGAGTTGCCCATGAGCTCATTCTCAAAGCCACTACAGCTCAGGCAGACAACTGTTGGGAAGTTCTTCCTTTAGCTTCCCTTGCTCCTGAGAAGTTGCCTTTCACACTGCTGCCTCTCCTTGGGGAAAGGGAGTCGGGAATGAACTTCTGAAAAGACTGTTCTGAGATCTAATCTCATTTAAGGTTTTTCCCTCTCACTTTTATTTCTAGGGGATTGGCTGTAGTTTAGACAAAGCATTTTGTAGGTGGGATTTATTTTCTTTTTCTGATTGCCCTGAGGCTCTGAGTGAGCTGCTAGATCCTGGAGTCATTCCAGCAAAGGGCTATGGAGATTTCAAGGTTATTCCTCTGTATTTGTGATTCCATTAGTTTGTGTTCATTTGAGGCCTCCTCTGGCCTCTGAGAGAGCTGTCCTCTTTCCTTTGATAAACTTGGAAAAAAACCAGCCTTGCCTTGACATTACTCAACAGCCAGAACACAAGACAAAAGAGACGGGACTGGCTAACAACACACACAGCTCCTACAATCCACACAGCTTTTGCACATCTCCTTCCTCACGTTTCTGCTCCCTTCTCCCCAGGAGCTGAGGCTGGAGCAGAAGACCCCTCTGCGGGTGCTGCACCGGCGGCCGCTGGCCGTGCGCTGCCGGCTCATCCACACCATGAGCTGCGAGTACCTGGACGAGCACCACTTCCGCCTGCGCCTCAAGACTCAGGCAGGGACGTATCCTCGGCTGCTGCCACCAGCCAGGCCCAGCAGCCTCCTGGAGGGAGGGCTTGGGATAAGGGCAGGGGTTCTGAAACCCCTGCAGTGGTGTCGCTGCACAGTGTTTGCTTTTAGGTCACAATTTCTCATTGTTAAGTTTTTGTGAAGTATGGGACAGATGGAAAAATGTGCTGGTGAAAATACACTTCAGTTTTTTCTAATTTAACTGAAATTAATTTTCTAATTTTCACCTCCAAAAATGACCTTTTCCACAATATTTAATGCACTTCAGTGCAGACTGGAGGTCGCAGCTGTTTACAAGTTCCAGTTTTGTCCTAAAGTCACTACTCAGTTTGGAATGAAACAAAATAAAGCTCTGATTCTGGTTTGGCACCAGAGTCAGAAGCCAGGAATTAGGTGCTCTCCTAAAGATAGGTATGGGCTCAACAGGATATTAACTAAGAAATTACTTATGAGTGGAAAATGTACTTTTTTTTTTTTGCCCTGTTGATTTCTTTGGTGTGGAATCCACCCCTCCTTAGCCAGTGTTTTCCAGCTACATTAAAGAGTTTGTGCACGGAGACTTCGGGAGAACAAAGCCCAACATTGGGTCCCTTCTGAACAGAACTGCTGACATTCTGGAGCTGGATGTAGAAGTAAGTTGGTTGCTGTTTGTCTTTCCTGGAAAGTTCTAAGGGAGTTGCCCTGGTGAGATGCTTTCCATGGAATTGCTCTGAGTGGATCAACATTCCTGACCACAGGATGCCTTTCCTTCTGCTACTTTCCTTTGTAAATGCAGCCCAACAGAGAGTGATGCTGCCAGGTAGTAGCAAAAGGAGTTGTGATTCTCTTGGTATGTGTAAAACACCAACTCTGCTGCCTTTTTCCCCCTCTGCTTTTCTAGTCTGTTGATGTTGACTGGCCTCCAACCCTGGCTGATTAACTTCTGGAGCTGGGATGAGGAAGCAGCAGCTCCCTGGCAGCAGCTGGTGACCAGACACTGTGCAGGATCTGTTACAGCCTGGGTGCCAAGGGTGTCCCTGGAATGCTGGGATCACGTTGATCTGCCAGAGGATACCCTTGGGCTCCACTTTACACACTCAGGACCAGGTAGTGTTGGTTCAGTCTCTAGCCTTACTTTTATTTCTTCTGTACATAAAAAGATTTCGGGGAGCCAGTGTCTATAACCCTCCAGCCAGCCAGGTTTTATTTTAAACTCTTTTTCTATTGGATACCACAGCTTTCCTTGTGTGGATGCAGGTAACACTGAGTTACCTGAAACCCACTCCCTAATTTTTCTGAGCAGTTCATGCAGGAAATCCCAAAATCCAGGGAGACTGCAGCCAGCAGGACAGTGCCTGCAGCAAGTTTCCCTGAGACACTGCTTTTTTTTTTTTTTTTGGTCAGTGGCAGTAGAGAGGAGCAGATTTGTCTCTCAGAGTGCTTTTCAAAGGGGAAAAAAAAAAAGTTTTCAGAGGAGAACTTTGCACTTAAAACCAAGTTTTTTCATTTAAAAACGTTGGGGATGCTTCCTAGAAACAAGAGCCTCCTCAGCCTTTTTGAGGAGTAGGAATTCCCCAGTGAGTCACAATATACAGAAAGTCTGGGAACTCCTGGCAGTGGTGCATGATGGGAATCTAAAAAAAAACAGGAACACCAAGAATGTCAACGTGCAGGCAGAAACAAAAGGTACCACAGGGTGCTGGTATCAAGAGAGGTGAGAGATAAAAAGCTGTGACTTAGCAGCATAATGCATTTTTTCTTGTACCTCACCTTGGATGGATGCCTGGAAGAGCTGAACACAGCCTAGGAACTTGCCTGGAATAGGGAAGATCTGAGGTTTTCTTTGGTTATTTTAAATATTTCCTACCAAGCACCACCAACATCTTCAGGGAGTAATTTTTTATACCCAGTATCATGTTAATCCATTAGGGAGGTGCTTCCCTGGAGTACAGAGGAGAGTATCAACAAAAAATTAAGGTTTGGAACTTCAGAGCTCTTTGTTAACATTTTGGGGATGAAGAGGGTAACATCTGCCAAGACAAGCCACTGTCTGGGGCCAGGGAGGATGACTGGGATGTCTTCCCTGGAATTCAGTGATGCTAGAACAGCTCCATGAGAGCTTGAGCTGGAGGCTCTAAGTGTTAATAAATACATTTTTAAGGAGCTCCTTTAAGGCTCTGCCTGTGCTGGGCTGTCAGAATTGTGTCTGTAATGTAAGTAATTCAGGAGCTCCTGTTTTTCTAACACAAAAATTTGATTCAGACAGAAATATTATTTTTGGTTTTAATACTAAAGCTCCTATGAGCAACAGATTCCATGAGTAGTTCTCAGATAATAATCTGCAGCTAGGAAGGAAATGTCATTAATGATGGAAAACTAAAGACACTGAATTCAGAAAACAAAAGAGAATTACTTATCTGTGCCATTTCTTAAAACTCTCAGTGAGCTAAAATACAATTTATAAATTCCATAATCTGCAAGGGAAAGGAAAAATGTAAACAAGACTGTGCTCTCTGGACACAAGAGGCATGGGAAGAGCTGCTCCAAGGGAAATGGAGCCAGAAGGGGAGAGGGAGGGGGCTGCTGCAGTAGTGCCAAGGACACTCCAGGCTCTTCCCTCTGCAGCTCCTGCTGCAGGGGGATCCCAGGCAGAACCCAGGGTAAACAAGGCCACCAAGAGACCCTCGGTGTGCTGAGCTCTTCTCTGGGCAAGGCACAGAGCTCCTCCCAAAACTCCCAGGCTGTTTATTTTTATGGTAAATCTGAAGTATCCACATGGGGGGTGGAAGCTGATATGCAAATATCCCTGAGTTCTTGAGGCAGGGCACCCATCACAGCAGAAATGAAACTGAGAAATGTAATCTGGGGCTCTGAACTTTGTTTCCAGCCCAGTTTTGCAACCATCACTTACGGAATATTGCAGCAATAACATTCATGTCGTGCTTGGCCTTCAGCTGAATTTTAGGAGTATTTTTGTGAGTGCTCAAGCTGGGTGTTTGGTGAGAGCCAGATTTCATCTTGCATTTCCCCAGCTGGACACCTCTAATCCTCCCCCCTGCATTTTGGGTTTGCACCAGCTCAGCTGGGCCTGGAGAGCTGAACTGGCAGCGCAGCTCAGCCAAAAGCAGCTGTGCCCTCTGCATAAAAACCCAACAGCTCTGCCACCAAACCTGCTGGGGCAGACCAGCCCTCACAGGCCTGAGGTTTTATACTGGCCACCAGCAACAGGGAGCAGAAAATACCCCCAAAAAAACCCCAGGATAAGCAACCAAGAACCTACCTTGTCCCTTTTCCCTGCCTTTCCCGTGGTGAGGGACGTCACCCAGCCGAGGAGGTTGCAGAAGCTGAGCACTTGGTATAACCAGTTTTTTTTAATTACCAAACCAACTCGTTTACAAAGGAAAACAGAACTTTGAAAATATTTAATTATACAGTAAAAACAAATTGTACTACAAAGAGCTTTCTATGAAGTGAGTAAAATGTTTACATTTAATATACTTAAATCTGAGAACTTAAAAAAAAAACTGAATAAACAACACGATTCAAGCTTTCTGTGTATTTCTTTGGATTTCTTTCGTCTTTGTATTGCTTAGGAACGTGGAGGAGAGGTGCAGAGGTGAGGAAAAACTGCTTTAAAACAGGGGAGAGTCAATTCAGTTTGTTGTGTAAGCTGGAGTTAGGGGAAGCAGTCTCCAAAGTTCACCTGACTGAGGGAATTCCAGCAGCAGCACCAGAGTGCTCCCAGTGCTATGGATTCCTGCAGGGAAGGCATCCCTGCTTTCCTGTAAGCCACAGAACTTCTGGAGCACCTTTCCTTGTGTACAACTCTACATCTCAAGAGGCTTTTTTGATCTGGGGGGAGGGTTTTAGACGTCATTGCTTTTTTGTGGTTGCTGTCATTGTGCAGTTTTACGTCACCAAAAGGTGACAGCGGGGACCCTTACCTGCCCTAAAGAGCAGCTGCGTCCCTTGAGAAATACACAGACGTTTCTCTGTGTTGCTTCTTAAAGAAATAACAGTATAATAAAGTAGCCAAGGCTGGAGTGTCTTACCCAGCCAGTTACCTCCAGCTGGAGGTGTCAGAACAGCTCCTGCTCAGGCTAAGAGCGAAGACTGGGAATCAAGTGGGTGGGAAGAAGTTCTGGTTCCTGATACAGAGGACAGAGGAGCGGTTTTAATTAGTACAGACTGAAATGGCTTTAAAAGTTGTTAATAGAGGTGAGGCTGCACCAAGGCTTTGCCCTCCTGGGAGGGGGAGGCAGGATCTGAGCCTTCTTTGAAGCAGTCTCTTGCATAGCAGGAAACTGCCAGGATACCTGAGGAAAGAGTGAGTAGATACTCGGGCTCCAGAGATTCCTGCCTTTCCAAATCTCACTCACATGGCAGCTGCATACACACACACACAACTTGCAGAGCGATAACAGCTTCATTCCTAAAGCAACAGGGGCATGGCTTGTAAAACAGTGCATTCTGGGTGAAGTGCAGACAAGTCCTCACTTTCTGTTCCTTCTCTTGTGCAGTGATTTCCTTTACAACAGAGCTGGACTATTTAAAAACTCAAACCTTCCGGTCTTTTTAAATACATCTAACAATGACATAGTCATTAAAAAAAAATTTACGAGTAAATTTGCCTTCAAAGCAAACAGAATGCGGTGACTGTGGAAAATCAATACATGTTCTCATTGTAGGAGAAGAATATTTATAGAAAGGGGGTTAAGAACCTAAACCTTTCAAGTATGCTGAGTAGAACTCAGGTGCCATTCACTACACGAGACTGAATTAGAGTGCTCACGTGCAGGGTTTTTTTCCTCATTTCTGTCCTATCAAAATTTAAATTTCATTTCTATAGCAAAAATGGCTATTTCAGAACAACTCCAACCCTGTGAAGTATATGAAATTTTAACCCTTCTGAAGATGCCAGCTCTTACAGTCCCCAAAGGTAAGGAAGCGTTAACAGTTCCCACTTCCAACAGCGAAAAAAATACGTCCGTAAGGTACTTTTAAGGTACAGAAACCCCAAACCCTATTCCCACCTCCCTCTTTAAGGGCTGCAATAAATAACCTTTAAGTTATATCGTGGAACTTGCACGGCAACATTCTGAAAGAGAAAGCAGGGACTCCAGAAGGGTGAATTACTCCTCTCCACGCAGCAGCACCCGCGCAGCTCTGCGCCGGCTCACGGCTGATAGCTCTGCAAAATGTTATCGAAGGGGAAGGACTGGTAGAGCTCGTCGGTGTGGACACCGTCGGTGTCGTAGAACTGGCCGTCCGGCAGGCCCTGGTGCCCGCCGGGCAGCCTGGGCTCGCCCAGCCCCTCCGCGTCCATGAAGCCGTAGGCGGGCTCGGCCGGGCCGGGCTGCGCGGGGAAGGCGGCGGCGCCGCCGGGCCCGGCCGGGGGCAGCTGCAGCGGCGGCTGCCGGGGCCCCAGCGCGGCGCTGAAGCGCTCCAGGCTGATGCTGCCGCAGCTCATGTCGTCCGTGTCCATGCCCATGCCCATGCCCAGCAGGCCGGCGCTGGAGCCGCCGCCGCCGGGGAGGCTCTGCAGCTCGGGGGCCGGCAGCACCACGGCGCCCAGCCCGTTCGTGCTGCCGAAGGTCCGGAAGAGCCCCGAGTCCTTCTCGTCCGGCCAGGCCAGGGAGCCGTCGGGGAAGGCCGGCAGGGAGCCGCTGCCCTGGGGCTCCGAGGAGAAGCTGTTGTGCGGGTGGGAGCCCAGCATCCAGAACGGGGAGGAGAGCACGTCCTGCTTGCCCGGCCCCGCCGCCGCCTGCGAGCAGCTGGGGTACAGCTGGCTCGGGGCGGACAGCGCTCCTAAGCCTGCAGGCATCATCGTGGATGGAAACAGGTTCGGTTCTGGGGAGAGAACGCTGCTTTTTAGGGGCTTTCTCAAATTACAAGTGGTAAAAAGCAAAGGAAAGACAGCAAGATTGCACGGGTATTCCCACAGTCAGCTTCACTGCTGGCCAGGATGGACCCCAGAGTTCTGCCCTCTACGGCCCACACTGAGGGTGACACAAAGAACTGAGAGCTTTAACTTTGTACAGTCAGAAGCATCACTGTCCTACAGGAAGAAACCCTCGAGAGATTAGAATTTCGAGCAAAGAGAGGGCACTACTTTTTTAAACCACCGTCAAAACCACAGGTAAAAACCTACCTTTCTTAATCGCCTTCCCTTCAGGAGTGACAACAGGGAATGGGGCTACTTTGGGCCTCTCCATGGTGCTTGAGCCTGTGATGGAACACGACATGAGCGTGCAGCATTTGCAGGGAACAGCTCCATCGAAATGTAAGCTCACTCAAGCAAGAAGAAAAAGACAAATATTTTCCTTACCACAGTCCTGTATGAGCTTCTGCCAAGCCAACGTGGATCTTTGCCTTTTCGCTTTGTTGCCATATGGATCTACAGAGAAAGGAGTGGAAGGGGAAAGTGTTGCATTTCTCTTTAAGGAAGGCCTAAAGGAACTCCCTAGTGGCACCAAGCTGCAGTAGGAATTATTTAAAGGAAAACATTGCAGGCATGGCAGCACTAACAAACCATGCCAGTGTTACCCAAGAGAAATTCCTGTATTGTCACTGAAAGAGGGAATAACCTGACTGCTGTAACTTTCAAACCCCACGACTCTGCTGAAGCAGCGCTGTGGATTTCTCATTAATTAAGCCACTACCACGAGTCCTGCATTGACCACGGCTGTTGAGAAGCTCATCTCCTGGCTGGATCCATACCCTTTTCATCTGGCAGGTATCTGAAATCCATGGGTTCACTGACTTCCTGGTCCGAGGGCCTCCGCAGCTGCATCTTCACGGTGACGGGCTCGGAGATGTCCCTGAGGAACGGCGGCGTCCTGAACACGATGGCGACCTGGCGGTGGACGTCGGCTTGGGAGAAGGAGCCCTTGGCCTCCCAGTTGTCCAGGACAAACCTGACTTCTATGTCATCTAGGCCAGGAGAAACAGAAGATGCTTGTCAAGCTGGGAAATTGAGGATTTGCAGCAGAAAAAAGAGGGGGGAAGGAGCAAAGTGAGGAGCCTGACTCGGGATTCAGATCAGAGTAAACGGCTCAACTTTAAAGGCACAAGAGGTGCTGAGACCCAAAAAACAGAGAAGTTGTTCCGCCCAGCTCCAAACCCAAACCACTCTGAGGTGTGTGGTGAAGGGTTTCAGCCCCCCAGCAGGAAAACGGTCATGGAATGTGTCCATTTGGGGAAAAAGGGAGAGAAAAAACCTAGTGCAGGTTACCTTTCTGAACTTTGTCACACAGCAGAAATATTTCGTCTCCTCCTTTGACGCTCCCACAGTTCTTGTTCACGCGACAGATTCTCAGTTCTGCGGTGTTGGGAGCTCCTGGAAGCAAACAGGCAGACTGAATGACCTGGAATTACTGTGGCTTTGTCACTGTTGGACGGGAGGTGCTGGGAGTTCAGGCGCACGGAGGAGGAGTGTGACACCCTGAAATCCACACAAAGCAACATCCTCCATACAGGAAACTCAGCAGCAGGGTCTGACATTCCATGATCCTACAGCTTAGCTCCAAACACAAGACATCAGCACTCCCTAACGATTGCAGAGCAGTCCCAAACACTTCCCCCACTGAGGTGGTTGTGCTCAGCCCCGCTGCCCTTCAAGCTGCAGAATTCAAAGCAGTTCTGTGGGTGAATGATTGCCTGGTACTGCCACACTTCTCTGGAAAGAGCTGGGCTACCAAGTCAGGAGAATTCCCCTCTCTGAGGATCTGGCTGTGGTTCTGTTCTCAGAGCTACTTGGCCACGCAGCCTCTCCTCTGTTCCCCTCTGCAGGTGTCCAGGAGCAGCTCCATAATTTCACACCTTCACTGAGGGCAGCAGGTTTCTCCCCAAACCACTCAAACTTCCAACTCCAGACCGTGGCTGCACACAAACATCCCTCAGGATAGCTGAGGATGGGGAGCTGCCTCCCAGCATGATTCAGCCCCCACTGAAGGCTGCACACTGCATCCCAAACAATCCCATGGCTGTGGGTGACTCCAGTGGGATGGAGCCATGCTCTGCCTGGTGGTGTTTGGCTCCATTCTGGAGCAGCAGCTCCAAACACATTTAAAATGTCTGGAATGATCCAGCTGGTGCTGCTTTGACACCATGAAACTGATCCTCCACGAGGCTCTACCACCACAGGCTCCCCATTCCAGACACAGAGAAGAAATACAAAAATCAAAGCTCGTGGTGGCAACCTCACAAAAAAAAAAAAAAAAAAAAAAAAAAAAAAAAAAAAAAGAACAAAAAAACCAACCAACAAAAACCAACCCAAACCAAACAAATCTGCTTTAGACTCTCAGTTTGAATCAATTCCTACCCAAGTACAGCTACAGCACAAGACAGACTACAGCTAGAGCAGAGTTCCTGGTAACCTCTCAGCATCCCCAATTACGTAGTTACTATCTGCAGCTATTACTGTCATTATTTTAAGTGGGAGCTGCAGCCTCACGTACTACATGACACACACCACTTCATTTGCTGAATGAATCAGAGCCCTTCAAGGGAGGGGAAACCAAACAAACCCAGGAACAGCACAGGGCCATGTGACTGACAGCGTCACGGCGCGCTTTTCACAGGAAAGGTAAATTAAGAATTGGGAGGAAAAGCCTCATTTTAACAATGTTTCACTTCTGTGTGCTTGAGTGGCACTCAATAGCAGAGAATCAAGGAGTGGTCTGGGTTGGAAGGGACCTTAAAGATTATCCATTTCCAACTCCCCTGCCATGGGCAGGGACAACTTCCCCTATCTCAGGTTGCTCCAAGCCTTGTCCAGCCCGGCCTTGGACACTTCCAGGGATCCAGGGGCAGCCACAGCTTCCCTGGGCAATCTGTGCCAGGGCCTCCCCACCCTCACAGGGAAGAATTCCTTCCAAATGTTCAAGATAACTCTTCCCTCTTTCTATGTGAAGCCATCTCCCCCTGTCCTGTCACGCCCTTTTGTGAAAAGTCCCTCTCCAGCTCTCCTGCAGTTCTCTTTAGGTCCTTGTAACAGATGTTTGGGACAGTCTGCTTCAGTGGAATCTGTTGTTTTGTCCCTAGACAAGGAATTTGGAAGGGCAGTCACCACACACAAACCCAGCAGATGTGGATGCACCCCTGTCAGCAGGAGGGCTGAGCCCAGCACCTGCCTCAGAGGGAGATGTTCCTCACCCCTGCCACCTCAGCTCCTGCCCAGTTCCTGTTCCTCACTGCCCTGCGCCACATCCCTGGCGACAGACCCCTCGAGAAACGGGCTCCTCACGGAAAATCACCTCGTCTTCCACAAGGGCAGAACATGCTCTACCCAACCCCGTTTCTCAGAAACGCTGAGCTGCCTCATCTGGCTCTTCCTAAGAGTTTTTGATAGGCAGCTTGGGAGATTTCTGTTCCAAACCAGTTAACTTTAGAAGCATCTGGAAACAGGTGGTGCTGAATTTGAGACACTTGCAGCCTCTGCTAATGGGGTTGCCTGTGTGATGTCAATGAGATTCTTCTGTGTCTCACTGCCCACAGCAAGTGGAGGCTACAAAGGATGAGAAAGTGAAGAAAATACTGGATTTGAAGTGTCCAACTGGTTTTCAGAGCATCTCCTTGCTCCTAAGCCGAGCAGATGTGTGGAGGCTCAGAGCCCAGGGGTGCCCAGGCTGCAGTCCCTGTCCCCTGAGGGCACAGCCTGGCTGCAGCTCCAAGCAGGCTGACACTTCTAAAAGCAACTGGGATCTGAAACCGAGCAGGGCTGATCTTTACGACCTGTGGTTGGGTTTATTTACAGGGCTGCTACGCTACAGGGAGGCTTTGGGGTGCCTGCAGTGCTGCCCACAGACACCCCAGCAGCCGCCCCTGCTTCCCCCACGGCGCTCTGCTGGCTCTGACGTCAGCCCACGAGCAGTAATCATGATTTGGCACATTTCTAAATGGCATCTGAGGCAGGGCTGCAAATCTGGTGCATCAGTTTTTATCTCAGCCCCGATTATTTCAGTGCAAGGGTTCTCAGTGACACAACGCTCGCAGCCCCGGCTTCTAGATCGTTCTGGAGGAGACTCTAATTATATCAGAGCCATCTGAGTTCATGCTCAGCATATTCACAATGCTTTGTGCCCACATCAACACAATCCTAACAACTACAGGAAACGCAGATCTCATTTTATTCAGTACTTTCTGCTAAAATGAGGATGTCAAATATTTAGCATGAAAACACTCATGGTGCAGAAATGAAAAACCCTGCAGGGAAGTTTCTCAGGATTGAGAGCTCTTTTGCTACTCTGCTCCCAGAGAGGAGTCCAGCACACAGTGGGGGCTAAAATCCTCAGCTGCTGATGAGGATCATCATCCCTAGGGATGTCCAGTCTTGTGGAATGTGGAAAATGGTGGCAAGAAGGAGTGTCACGTACTTCTGCACCAACCAGGACACACAAGGCCATCTGACAGCTTCCCACTGACACAAATCTCTCTTGCAGGTCCCATTCCAGAGCCCTCACAAGGCAAAGCAAGACTCCTCAAGGGCACAAACAGGTTCCAGAGGACTCTTGGAAAGCAGATCAGCCTTGAGGCAGCCATCCATCTCACCACTATCACTTTAATCACTTGGCACATCAGGCGTGAGCCTTTCCTTGCAATCACTGCTGCTGTGTGTGAACAAGGGCTGGAAAAACACCTCTGTGTGAGTCCAGGAATGCCATGGACAATCCTTACTCTGGCTGGCCAACATTTCACCCTGGGATCACGTTTGAAGGTATGCTGACTGTGACTTGCCATGTGACACTCATGCACCTGGCAGTCCCAAGCCACGGAAGCGACCCGGAGCTGGCACAGACCTCAGGAAGCTGGCATTCCTCATCCCAAGCTGAAGGAAAAAAACAAAAAAACAAAAGGGAGAAGGAAAAAGAGCCATTTGGCTGAGCTGGTACTCACTGTTGTCATAGATGGGGTTGGAAATCAGAGGAGGGAGGGCGATGCTGTAGTTGCCATGCTCGTCGGGAAGGAAGGCTTGGAAGCAGAGCCGGACCACGTTGAGGTCGTACTCGTCGATGTTGTGCAGCTGCTCCTCGGGCACTGCAGCACAGACAGCACCAGGGTCACTCTCAGAACCTGCACAATTCCTCACCAAACTGGGGATGAGGCCTCACAGTAAGGGATGGAGCTGCCCAGCCCCTGGGGCTGCACGAGTTCATCCCTTGCTCACAACAAACACACTGAAACCTTTCACACCCAACCAGGGTCAGCTGTCCCAGCTCTCCAGCTGTTTCTTGTGCCTGGGCTCCTCACCTTGCCTGCCACAACAGTTCCACGTATCTGTGGTTTAAAAGTGATTTTTTTGTTCTTCTTTGTGCCCGATAAAATTTACGGAATTAATGTTGTTGCCCAAAATAAATATTTTGGTACCAAGGGATCCTAGGATCCCATTAAAGATTTTCTGCAGCGCTGAGGGGCTTTGGCTACATGGTATCATTATTTTCCTCTAGAAACTGAGATGGAAGAAGAGTCAGAAGGGAATTCCTTCTGGGAGAACAGAAACCACCTCCCCACCCCACCACCACCAGTGTCTCAGCTGTACCTTTCAGAGCAGGGATTAGTGGAGCCATTGGGATAAGGAAAGCCTTGCTGGAAAGGATCCATTTCCTTGCATATTCCTCGCAGTGTAAAGCCCAGCAATGCATAACCCAAACCCAGCATTTCAATTTTGTTCACTCCTTATTTTAATTAAAAGACACAGGGCCTGGGGTATCATTACTGAACATTTCAGGTATTCCCAGCTTAATGGACAACTCTGGGAAGAGCAGCCCCCTCTGAATTCTTCACTTTCTTTTAAGGTGTGACACTAAACCATTATGCTGGCATTCAATGCTAGTAAAAATGAGAAACTGGCTTAATTTCACTTAAGTAAAAGTACTGATAATTAAAATAATTACAAGTGTTTCTGTTTCCCCAAACCCCTCCCAGCAGCAGTTCAGCTGTTTCACACTCCTCGCAGTTACCCAAAGCCAACATGTGTGCCAAGCCACCAGATCACCAGCTCTCCATTCTCCTCCCCTCCCTTTCAAAGGGCTCTTGCAAGAACAGAAGATTAAACGTGGCTGTGATAAGCAGCCTGGGGACCACGCTGTACTGATTAGAATGCCTGCTCTGACCTTTAGCATTTATCACTGGCTCAGGTCTCCACCCTGCCACGAGTGGGATTCCACAATGCCCACTTGAGTGGCTTCTTCCTTTTACCTTTTGCTAAGTGTGAAATTGTAAGTGTGATGAGCTCAGAATACTTTCCACTGGGCATTTTGAGTCCTTCTGGTGCTGCGAATATCAATTTCTCCTGGTCTCCAGTGCAAAGGGAAATCAAGTCACCTTTCCCCTTTACAAGCCTGTGATCTGCAGTATTTCAAGGCAAGTACAGCAGCGAGTACAAAACTAAGCAACAACTGTGTGAGCTTCAGAAGTGCTGGGCCCGGGGGAGTTCTGCCCGTGAGCACTTTGCAGGCTGCTGCTGACTGTGTCACCAGACACACGAATTTATGCCTTGATGCACTCCATCAGTTCACCTGCTAACTCGAAAGGGGATCTTTAGGAAAGGGGTTTGGAACAGACAGCTCCTCAGCCTGACCCGCATTTGGCTGGCTCCACAGCCCAGCTGCCTGATTCAGAGAGCACAGAAAGAAAAGGGCACTTCCCAAAGGGCACCTTGCAGAAGGATTACCAGGAGAGCAGCTCTCACCCGTGCCCTGACACCGTGGCCAGCTCCCAAGGACACCCTGACATCAGGGCTCGTGTCCCTGTGCTGTACCAGCCACTGGTGACCGCGGATCCCTGCAGGGAGCCAAGGGGTGCTCAAACCTCAAACCTCTTCACAACTGAACAGAGCACAGAGATTCAGTGCCTTTGCCTGTCTGTGGATGGAAGCTGAGCACGAAATCTGGATCTGGCTTCTGACCCTGGATCCAAAGTGAGGGCTTTGTGGTTGTGCAACCAAGGCCCTCTCTCACGCTAAAGGAGCCTCAGTCCCGCTCGGTGCCTTCCACAGGGAAATGTGCCTCTTCCTCAGAAACACGTAACAGCAGACTGAAGCCTAAGAGCACTCTATAAAAGCAAAAATACTCTAGATATGGAGAAAATTAGCAATGCTAATGTTGAAATGATGTCACTTCCTAAGCTACAAACTTGCGCAAATTCCCAATAAATCTGTCTGACACCTGACACAGGAGTGGTGTGCCAAGAACGGCAAGGGACAGAATCACTGTGTACAGCTCATTCTATTGCAGCAGAACCCACTGCTCCTGATTTGCATGTTTTCATAAACGACTTAATAGAATCTTTAAAAATCTGTCGTTTGAAAGAGGAAGTGTTCAGTCAAGAGTGATTCCTCTTGGGCTATTTTTAACCCTACAAGGAGAACATAACAGTGCAAGAAAAGGAGAACAAGACAGCTGCAACTCCATCTTGTGATGACACGCTTTAAAAAAGAGACACACCAGATTCCATGTGCATATGAAGAAGCACACAGCTTTCACCGATTTCAAAACAAGACAATCACCCAAACAAAACAAAATGCTGTTATTTTTAACAAACATCTAATCCTGCTCCCTCTGAAGTCGATTTGGGAGCAGCCACTGACTTGGAATGGATGCTGGCTGACACCTTGGGAATATTAAAAGCAAACAAAGCCGAGGCAGACAAACACCCTGAGTAACGCCTGGAGCGCGGCCAGGCGGAGGATGGCCATGTCATCCCATCCCATCCCATCCCATCCCACCAACTTCTCTGCAGAAGGACAACAGAGGGCTTAAACCTGACAAACCTGAAGTCATTAAAGTTAGGAAACGCTGTCGAAGATTTTGGGAACGCTATGTACTGGAGAGGAGGAGCAGCCGCTCCGCCAAGCCCTGCACAAGCAGGACTGAAAGCGGGGGCATCGCACGTGGGAAGGAAAAACGTCGCCCCGTGTGGCACCTCGGGGCACAGGTGTGGTGAAAAAAGGCTCCAACACAACACAAGAACCAAAAAAAAACAAAAAAAAAACAGCAAAAAAGGGAAGAAGTTCTCTGGTTTTGGCAAGGGTTCAACTTCCTCTTCTGACTGCTGCTCGCTGTGTGGTACCACACCTTGGTGTCTTCATCTGGATCCAGCTGAAAGAGCTGGAGCTCAACCAAAAGCCTGGGTATATTCCTCTGATGGCCCAGTCTAATTACAAAAAATAGCCCTAACCTGGCAGAAATCCTTTAACTGCAGTTATCTCTGCACACAGGAACACATGAAGGACTATTCGTAGGCTTTACAAGGAACTTTCAGACGCAACTCAGAGAAATTAAAATAATATTTTAAAAATAACTAAAATTCTAAGGTAAATATAGACTATGATGTCAAAAAAGTCCATAAAAATAACAGCAGCACCATGGTAAAAGAAATCCAACCCCACTCACCAAGATTCTGGCAATAGGGTTGCAAAAGGAATACCTGGAGTTACAGTCAAACCTGGGAGGATTTTCTGCTCCTCTGGAAAGGCGCTGCAATAACCAGTAAATAATTTCATTATAGATCTGTTTACAACTCCTCTGAACAAAATGCTGGTTCCTCAGCTTTACTAGATAATTATCTTGGAAATAATTCCCTAATCCATTGTCTGCTAAGGTGGGAAGGGACCAATACAGTCCCAGTGTGGGTAAAACACCCCTCGTGAGCTGAACTGTGAACTCCTTCCAACCTGAGCTGGCTGATCCAGGCAGCTCCCAGGCATAGGTTTGGGCTGTCCCTGTCTCCAAGATTTTGTCTCTAAAATCCAGAGATGCCCTGCTGGGATTCCACTGAGAACCTGCTGGATTTGCTTCTGTAACACAAAACTGGAGACTTTCCGGCTTCAACACACCAACGCACAAGTCCAAGTTTGGACACAAAATTAAAGATGCTGGTAACGTCAGGTCTCCTGTTTATTAATTTCTAATTATATTTTTAGTATTTCAATAGCTTTCAACATCCAGCAAGGGCAATAAAATGTCATTTATATGATTAAATTGATGGGGTATTAAGGGCTCTGATGTTCACTGACAAGGTGATGCTTCAGGGAAAGTGAAAGTTTATTCTGAACAGTGAAAAGAAATGATAAAGGGTTTGGGTTTTTGACTGATAATTGACACCTATCAAACAGCAGATCCCTCACACAGAGCTCATCACCCAGCTAATGATGTCAGCCTTCTGGAGTGGGCAGAGCTGGAGGCATCTCAGCTTAACCTGCATGGAAACTTCCAGGGCAGTGTGGTGTGACACAGTCAGAGAGGGGGCTCTGTGGAGAGCACAGCTCACCCTGCAAGGGACATCCTGTGACCTTCCCCCGGCAGCGAGGGGCTGCAGGGGCACATCAGCCACATGAGATGTCAAAGAGAATGACCTTCCACAAGTTAAAACACCCCAGAGATCACACATCATTAATAACCATCGCACATCACTCCCCACATGTGTGGGGAGCACACATCATTAATAATCATCATGAGCTGTTTCTCTCTTACGCAGATGAGGGTTTTTAATTTAGGGATATGCTGGGAGCTCAGTTTCATTTCAGGGATGACACAGAAGTGGTTTGCCTCCAGGGTTTTGCTCCTGGAGTACAAAGATACCCCCCTTGGCCCTGATACCGACTGGGCAGTCTAACTCGGTCCATGCCAGAGGTTTTGCTGCAAAAGGTGGCTCTGCCCAACCTTTCCAGCACTGCTCAGGCTGGCTCAGCTCTCATGTGGTGAATCAGATCAAGGAACTGGTCTGGCTCAGAACTATCTTGCCAGAAGGGAAGAGGAAAAGGCTTGTTTTCAGCCAGCTGGTTCCCACGACAGGCAGCCCTGGCGTAAGGCAATGGGTGGAAGCAGAGCTTCTTCCAGAGCTGCTGCTGATTTACACCAGGCTCAACCAGGCAGGGAAATGGGCTGCAATCACAGATCCCTCTTGGTGCCCAGGAGATTCATTCCAGCCCCAGCTTATCCCCCAGCCTCTGTCCCTGCTGCAGCCACAGCCGTGCTGGTGTAGCCTTTCACTAACACTTCCCAAGGGGTAGGATCCTGCAGTGGTCTGGGCTGGAAAGGACCTTAAAGCTCATCCAGATCCACCCCCTGCCATGGGCAGGGACAACTTCCACCTTCCCAGGTTGCTCTGAGCCCGTCCAACCTGGCCTTGGACACTTCCAGGGATGGGGCATCCCCAGGGCCTCAGCACCATTAAAGAATTTCCTTTGCATATCCAACCTAAATTCTGCTCTTTCTGTTTGAACCCATTACTCCTTGTCCTATCACTACAGTCCCTGATCAAGAGTCCTGGTGAAGCTGGGAACAAGGGGAGGGAAGGACTGTGGCAGCTCTGTGTTTCTTCTCCGGATACACCCACACCTGTTTTATTCCACTGAGATCCACAAAAAGGTAATTTTCAATGAATTCTGCAGAAAAAAGGAGAAGCTTTTACCTGTGCCTTGAAACAGGGTGTGCATCAGCAGCACCCATTTTTCAAAAAGCAAAAACTCAGGGAGTTGGTGAGTGCAAACAACTAAAATTCAGATGACATTCTAGAGTCAGTAAATGCCCAAACTTCTGTGGATACATTTCCCTGGTTTACAGAAGAAAGAAATGCAGGGAAGGCGAATGGCCTGGCCAAGGGAAGAACTGGGAATACAAATTAAACCTTTCAAAACTCCGCACTTGTTTTGCCTAGACAATGTTTCTCTGGCTTCTTTTCCTGTTTTAAGTTCAACATGAAAAAGGTGAAGTTGGAAGAGATGTAAACAAGTGTATCCATCAGCCTCTGTACATTCCTGATACTTTTCTTTAGCAGTTTCTGTTTCTAGCACAGAAAAATAAAGAAGTCAGCATATTTGTCTTGCTACCCGGTAATCTTCCTTTTTAAACAATTTGAAAGGGGGCTGTCCTTTGTTATTAACACACACACATTTTGGAATGAGCAGAAAGGAGCGTTTGCAGGAGACCAGAGGAACAAAGGGCTTCCCAAAGCCAAGCGCTAGGGCCATGCTGGGATCAGGACACGCAGCTTCCCTTGGGCGGATTTGCTCTGTGCCCCTCCAAAAGCTCATGACACTCACTACCAAGATTTTGCACTTCAGGATTTAACTGGGGGGCTGCACATTTATTGTAATACAAGAAAAGAAGCTCAAAGTCTCTTGTGATATCCGAGATCATTACAGCAGACACCTTCAACCCATTCCCACTGCCAAGAGCCGCTCACGCAATCCACGAAACTCCGTAAAACTCCCCCTGGAGCTGGCGCAGGCGGAGAGGGGGATCCTGGGGAGAGCAGCACCAGAGGAGAGGGGGTTTCTCATGGAAGCTGCAGAGAGGGACGTGGGCAGGGGCGTCACGGCACAGGCGGTGACGAGCGCGGAGCCGCGCGGGGTCAGCGCTCGCGGGCGGAAAGGGGAAGCGGCAGAGGAAACGCTGCGGAGGCACACGCAGACCTGCTGAGGTGTGGGCTGCTGGGGAGAGCCTAAAAATGAACTGCACGCTCCTAAGCGCAAGCAGCTGCAAAGGAGCAGGAAGGTTAAGCTTTGGCAAGCTCCAGGGAAAGTCAGGTTATCCCTGCTGATAAAAACTGCCCGGAATTCGGCGGTTCTTACTCCAAGACAAGTCCGGGGTTTTCGTGCTGCCGTGCATTTGGCTAGAAAAAGGTCAGTCCTCTGTAACACTGCACTGAGTACAGTTTTTCCATAATTTAAAGAAAACACTTAGGGCTTTTCCTCATTGACAATTAACTCCCGTTGTTATTAACTCAATTGTTGTCTCTATGTCAAGTCACACCCACTCACAAAAGCTCTTAACTGAAAACTGGCTCTTCTTTTAATTTGAGTTGGCTGTACATCAGACAGTGCATGGGAAGACAAGGATATGGCACAACTCAACAGCTCCTAAAAGAAAACAAACACCATAGAAAGCAGACATGGACCAGCTCCACTGGAGGAGTAACTCTGCTCCTTCGATGCTGTGCCATTTGTATCATCATCATCATCATCATCACCACCATGCCAAGGAGTGCATGTTAGGCTGACACTGTGCCCCATTTCCCTGGAGTGCTCAGAGATGAGAGACAAAAGGGATTTCTAGAATTCTTGAGATTGTTAGAGGACAAAAACATATGGCATGCGCTTTGGGAACACCACGGATCACGAACACGGTGTGGAAACAGCAATTCCCTCTCTCTCAAACAAGGCTAACACAAGAGCAGCAACCTGACTGCAAGTCATCCATCCTAGTGAATGCACACAGCTCCCACAGCCTGTGCTGAGCTTCACAAGGGACAAATGCTGCCAGCCAACACTGGGAATTCACAGGGAGACAGCCTTACACAGGTGCACCCGCAGAATGACTCCGATGCACCTGCAGCTGGGCACACGGCAGGGATCTGCAAACGAGTTCCGATCACCCAGGGATTCCCAGGCAGGCATCAATTGCTTGGGATCAACACTGAACCTCTCTTCCTCAAACGGAGGCTTGGGACAGGGAATGCTTGTTCCAGAAGAAAGTGGGAAAGAAAAAAAGAAAAGCCTACCAGCACACAAGCACCCTGAAGGCTCGTTTTCCATCAAGTTCCTTTGATGATGTCATACAAGAAATGAGTAACACCAACTTGCGACCTGCTCCGGAATGTCTCTAAACAGGGAAGTCAGATGCCTCTCTGAAGGCACAGAGGTAAAGCACAATGCAGGATGGATTCAGCACAGCCTGCACAATCCTGGAAAAAGTACCAACACTCCTCTGACCTTAAAAAACAAACTAAATCCACACATAAAACTTTCAACCTTGTCAAGCAGAGAACATTTGCCGTGATTGCTGCTCGCAAAACCCTGCTCTGATCAACTAAATAAAAACATTCCTGTCACTAATTCTGTTTTATTAGACCTTGGTCCCAGGCCTTTCTAGGCCCTGCTCAGCGTGGGACTGCCCTGGAGGCCGTTCTCAAGTGGCTCTGCTTTGTGCTGACACGTTAACACGCGCCGAAGGGCAATGACTGACGCAGCTGGGGATTGCCAGCGGCCCCTTCTCAGCACAGCCCCTGCCCAGAGCAGGCTGCTGCCCTGGGTGTCACCCAGGCAGGCTCTCCCCTGCTGCCAGGGCAGCAAAGTGGCCTCCTCCACTGGTGGGAGACAGCCCAGGATCTGCCCGGATGCTACTGAGCACAACTTTCTGTAATCGCCCGAAATTTATTAGTGGATGTGGAGTTAAGTGTCAACAACTGTAAAAATCTACTTCCTTCTAAAGAAAAGTCCCCCTTTTATTGTTTGAAATCAAGGTAGAGCTGGCTGAGTAAAGGCAACATAATTCAAACCTTTAAAGTGTTTAAATTGTGCTGGTGAACTAAACTCTTGTCAAAATACTGTGTGCGTGCATTATCATAACTAGGGTATTTGTTCAAATGGGTCAGCAGGGCCATCAGCCTGATTCCAAACAGCTGCTCTGAAATGAAGAAAAATATCTAAGACATTTCTTACTCTGTGATAAATTCAGCATCCTTCTTTTTGTCCCAATTGAGGGACATGTATTTTTAAAGCCAGCCAGAAATCCAGCTCTCAACTCTCCATAAAGGATCTTACCTGAATATAGCAGGAATTCTGTGGGTATTAGAAAACCCACAGAAGTGTCTGGAGAATCTAAGTGTGTCTCCCTGCTTAGGGAAATACACTTAAGGAAATACATGACTACATTGACATTGCTTAGCTAATAATTTGGGGGTATTTATGCTTTTCAACTAATTTCCCCAAGTTGTGCCTGCATTCTGCATGTGTTGGTCCCACTGCAATTGGCCAAAAAATTTTGCAGTGTGCTCCCCACCCCCTCTGTGCAGAGAACTTGGCAGCTAAACTGCTGTGAGGGGAGTTGGTTTAGCAAGTTGATCTGAAGGGAAACCACTCTCCTTTTTTTATTTTTTGTTTTCAAGTTGGTTTTCCACTGGAGCAACTCGCTGTGGGGCCACGCAGCCCCTGTGTGCGGTGGTGTGAGGAAAGTGGTGGGAGTGTGCGAGCAGGGATGGAGGGAAGAGCAGGATGACTCCTTCTGAGAGCAGCCCACAGATCAGACACTTCAAACAAAACCCTGTGGGCAACCTCACAGGTGTGGTTCTGCAGCAGCAGGTCCTGCCTCTGACCTTGATGAGCCCAACCACAGCATCACAGGATGGTTTGGGGTGGAAGGGACTGGAAAGATCATCTTGTTCCAAGCCCTGCCATGGGCAGGGACACCTCCCACCAGGCTGGGCTGCTCCAAGCCCTGCCCAAGCCAGCCTTGACACTGCAATCCTGCTGTGGATTTCTGAGCCCCCATGCTGTGAAATCAAGTGAGGGGCAGTTCCCAGTGGGCTATCAGCCCCCTGACCTGGCCACAAGAGACACAGCAAGAGAAGAGATGAGGAAGTGGCAAGTGAGATTTGTACTGGATTAAGCTGTTGCAGAGTTATGCTAATTCAGTCTTTTACTCCCATCACTGCCAAAACTGGGGAAATCCAACTCCCAGGATACTTGTAGACGTTTCCAGGAAAGGTTTCTGCCTCTATCCCATTCCTTCTGTCCAAGCAGCAACTCAGACTGCTGCTGGGAATTACAAAAACTCAATATAAAAAGAAAAAGGGCAACTATCCAAATAGATTCATCATGTGATGACTGGGAAGAAAGACTGGGAGGGACACAGAAGGGGAAGACTGCTTCTCAGAAAGAGATTTTTTTGGAGAAGAAAATAAAGCTCCAACACAAAAGCAAAGGCAGGACAGGACAAACAAAACCCCGTCACCCTGCCAAGAGAACCAGCTGATTTCCACTCACCATTGAAAGGGTTAATTTTCTTTGAGATTCGTAAAGAAATGGATTCCTTCAGGTCTTTCTTCTTCACACACTGAATGCCCAGGTTCTGAAAACTGAAGCATATGTGGCAAGATTTCAGCAACTAATAACATCTTCAGTGTGGACTATTAAATAAAATATTTATGGGAATTAGTGAGATAACATCCAGTGTAAGAATTTTTGTTAAAAAGCTTCTTTTGAGAAGGGTGTACAAGACCTGAAGAGCAAAGATGCTGTTTTTCCTAAAGTAAGGGCAGACACAGAAGCAAAAAAACCCTAAAATAAAATTCTAAATCATTTACATCCTTAAAAATATATATTTCTATATTAAAATTTATTACTCTGCAGTAAATCTGGTGATTTATAATGACAACCATTTTTGTAATCAATTAACCTGGTAATTTGCATTAGTTAAAGAATTTGCTCTCCTTCTTTTATCAGGGAATGTAAACCTTAAACACTATTATAAAGGGTTTTTTTTAACAGGTCAAAACAGGTTTTTAAATCTCACATAGTTATGGAAAAGTTCTGAAGAGCTGCAGCTCCTCCTGATTTGCATAAAAGTGCAGGTCACCCTGATGCAGGAGGTGGGGGGAGTCCCAGGCAGGCTGACTCTTTCCCACATGGAAAAACCATGACATCATCAAAGCTGAGTGGATGTAAAGCAGGAAGTTAAAAAAAAAAAAAAAGAAAAAAAAAAGAAAAAAAAAGAGAAATAATCTGTGTTTCATGATGTTACAGTAAGCTCTGAAGATGGGTTGTGCCAGCAGGCATCCTTCTCCAGAAGCCATTTCCCTTCCTTTGAAACTCCACAAATCTTCTTTGCTTCAGCAAAGGAGCATCTTACTGCACCTAAAGACAGTCCTTGCTCCTGCCAAGAGTGCTTGTACACTTCTGAACAAGCCTATCCTAGCACGATGTTAAATTTATTTCCCTAAACTCCCCTGTCTGTGCCCAACACGCTGTGCTCAGAGGTTCCCAAACCCTCTGCCATCAGGCTCCACTTCCAGAACCTCTGCTCACTGGAACAAGGCACAGGCTTCCTTTGCAAACTGAACATGGCATGACCTAGGGGAAAGTAAAACACAGCAGCATCTCCTCATTCACTAAAGCACTCTGCCTTCCTGTCGTGGCTACTGACATTCAGACTGGGTCTGTACCTTGATGAGCAATCCCAGTTCCACCTGCTCCTGGAGGAAGTACTTTCTTTAGGGCTGGATCAAGCACACATTATTTCCCCCCCCCTCAGAACACCCCCTGTATTCCACAGATTGTTTGAAGCACAAAGTCCACAAAGAGGGGCAGCTCCTTATTACACCCGCAAACGAAGCCTCCCGTGGACAGGAGGCTTTCCAGCAGCCCGAAACTGCCAGGTTATCAATGTTTTCAGAGGCTGTGCTGTCACAGTGGAAGTGTGTGTTTAGCCATGCCTAGGCAGAGCTGGGTCAGAGGAGGAACTGCTGAGAGCCCCAGCAGCCTGTGGGGTTTCACATCGATGGGCGCTGACAGGAAGCAAGTGAGATAACGAGAAGAGAGAGGGAGAAGTAGGAAGAGAGAGAGAGAAAAAAAAAATTAAAAACAGCTAAAAAAACGATGATATCATCCTCGTAGAGAGAAGAAACTAGGAAGTAAAAATCTGAGTACACAGGCAGCCCCACAAGCTCTGACTTTCCTGCTCTTGCCTTGATGTCTCGGCCAGGGAGGGCTCTGATCAAGTTTGGGCAGCAGTACAAAGATCATTATACCACAGGCAGAACAAAATGCTTGGGAACTTTAAAACATGGGGAACTTTGAACAGCAGAAAGCAGAGTAATTACTCAGAGCAGCCCAAAATCTGTGATTAATAATTCCACTTCTACTGAGGGGGGGAAAAAAAAAGGATTTTTGCTCAATTTGGGATGCTCAGCAAGAGCAAAGAGCCAGAAACACTATTGACAGAGGACATCTCCTGCTCACTAATACTGGATGAGGCTTTTCTCCAACACGAAGAGAAGAATGTGAAGGTTGAGTCACCAGCCACAAAAAGGAAAATGACTTTAAACATCCAGATCCAATTATGGATCATACTGTTCTTTCATCTTAAAGCAACCAATGATTTGTTAAAAAAAATGAGTGTACCGATGCTGGAAACATTTCAAAGGGAATGTGTCGAGCCTCCTCCCATCAGGACCTCCAATGTCAAACACAAAGCTCACAGTTTCACATTATCAATAAAATGAAAGCAGCCCACTTACTATTCTGTAGGCAACTGAGAGGCTCATATCCTAAAAATATTGAGAAGAATTCATGGATGGAGCAAACAAGCACCAGTGCTCGAAGCGAAACAGAGGCATGGCATTGTGCCAAAGGAAAGGATCTGATGCAAACATACAATGGGGATGAAATCACAATCTGCAAATAAATATCTGCAGAGCATCCCAGTGCTTCTTGGCATGACATCCTGCAGTGGCCTCTCTGACAGGCTCGTGCCTCCACACTGAGCCTTGTGCAAGCACATGCCAAGAGGAGAAGCAATCCTCAGGGTCTTCCTGCACTCAGTGATGGGAACACAGGGCCAGAAAAGGCACCAAGCAATCGGGCTCTTCTGCTTCGGATCAGCAGGCTCAGAGCTGAGGGGAGGAAGTGGGATGGGCCAGAAGAGCAGACTTCCTTCCACCTTGGCTGAGGAGGCTTCTGAGAAGGCCAAGGGGGAGCTGGTGAATGGATGGTCAGAGGAAGGTGCAAGGTCCTGCTGGAGTTTAGGGTGTTTGGAAGTCAGCGTGCCCCGTGCCACCGGAACACGCTGCAGCACATCCATGATCCCTTGAGCCTGGGCTGGATGCTGAAGAAGCATCTCCATTGTTTATTTCACCATCAGTGCAATAAATCACAGCCTTCAAAACAGATGTGTCTTCAGCTCTCTCCTTTAATAGTGTCCTACTGACTAAACCCATGTAAACATGGATTAATTTCACCAACACCAACAGAATCCCATTGGCCTGAGAGCTGTGTGTAAGAGCTACTTATACACTGAAATATTCACCTGATTTTCTTCTCAGCTCAGTTATGCTTACCCCAAAGCAATAGCCTACTTCCATATTTCCTACATTGCAAACTGTGAACCACAAACAGCTTGCCAGTTCTCAATTCCCCTCTCCAGCAATAATCACTCCATGTTTGCTGCAGCTTATTCTGCTTTTATTTTGCTACACGAGACTTGGTAAACTTAGAGGAAACACCATCCAACACAACTGTATTTGAGATATTCTTAACAGCACTAAGAAATGTCTTGTACACATCGTGAGTTTTCCTCTCTGCATCCACAAGCAGATCTTTCCCTGGCACACTTACTCTTCAGAGCTGGGCCTGAGCACAATCTGTATCTTCACTCAAAAAACCCCAACCCAAACAACAAGCAACAACAGTGACAGCTACTAACATTTCTAGATGTGTCACAAGCACTGTCTTCTAGATTACATGATACTCAGCCACTACAAACTTTCTCCAGAAAGTCCAAATATAATTTCCATGGAAGGTGCGAACTTCCCTCATCACCATGAAGCACAAATTCTAATGCTGTTACCCTTTCTATTACTCCTCATTTTTACATGTAGGAAAGAGTCATGCTCAAGAGTGAGATGTATTAATCTTACTCTTGTAAGAGTAATTAATGTATTAAGGCTAAAAAAAGTGAGAGAAAGGAAAAGAAGACAGACATTGGGAGAATGGTTGAAGGAAAGAAAAGGGTGACAAGAAAGAAAAAGCACATGTGTAGTATCCAAAAGAGAAGGAAATACTTCCAAAGGAAGTTCCCCGGGATGGATTAGTAAACTACAGCAAAGACAGCATTATAATTGTTTTTTTACTCATTAATATGAGCTTTAAGACACAAGATTAGCAAATCACTTGCACAATTCATCAAACTCCCAAGCAACACCATTACTCACGACAGGACTCGCCGTTCTGGCCCGAACTCAGCTTCGTAGTAGCCATCTCTGCAGTCTTTTCCAACCAGGTCATGGGGGTGTGGCTTGTAGGGTTCATTCTTCGTTACCAATGTGGTTCTTATTTTGATTTTTCCAAAATAGTTCAGAATCTACAAAAAAAAAAGTGGGATATTTTCAAGGTTTTAGGTGTCGGCCCCCACCTGTTACAGAAAATGAATTTTATCCCGAAATGCTCTATGGAAGAAACACCATACACAGGTGACCATACAGCAATGCTGCCTGGAGAACATGTCTACCTCCAAAGATTTTAGGAAAAAAACTCATAAAGCCTTGGGGATGAGGATACTACCTGTGCATGGAACACTAAGTAGTGAAAGAGGATCTTACAGATACAGCATGGCATGACACAATCCCCTCTGAAGCTGTTGGGTTTTTCCCAACTAATTCTCAGATGAGTACTCAATCTTACACTCAGGCTCAAAGTCTCAAGCTCCTACCAGAGCTCTAACAGCAGTCATCAGCCAATTCAGTGCTCCTTTCTCAGGTGCATGAAAGCAACCTCAAGCTGATGGCTACCAGTGAAGTCACCGAGTGCGGGGGAGTGTAAAAGGAAAAAAAAAAAAAAAAAAGGAGGAAAAATAGTTTGGCCTAAATTGTTTGACACATAAAAACTTGAAAGCAAATATGAGACTTACTCAGGCACACGTTTGTGCAGAGGTGAGCTTTCCTCCTCCACTTCCCCTGCCCTGTAAGTAACAGTTCCTCTCCTTCCCCTCCTTTCCCCCTCCTGAGACTCCAAAGATCCACCATGTATCCTTTTCAGTCAACACTTCAAATCTTTAACTTGAACTGTGCTCTTTTACCTGTCATCATCTGTTTGCATCAATCTTCAGTTTGGCTCCATTCAGTCCTCAGGCAAGCCACTGTAACTTTTTACCCTTAAAATGATACTTCCACTGCTCCCCCACTTTCTTCAACCATTACATCATTTCTGCCTCACTTTACACCCAGCCCCACGAACATGAAGCCTGATCTAGCTGCTTTTGGCTCTCCAGTTCCCCTTGATGTTCATCTTCATAACCACACCATGAAATTTAATCTCCTCCTGGCCCTTCTCTTCACGTTTCCATCTCTAGAGGGGACTCCCCTGGAACTTAATCAGCACTAAAGCCTCCCACGGGCTTCAGGGAGGCAGGAATTCACCTAGAAATCACCTGCTATCAGTGCCATCAGCTCTGTCATCAATAGTCACCTTTCAAAAGAACAAACTTGGCCAGGCTTGCATGGTCACATACCCATGTCCCACCTCCCCTTTGGGTTCTGCCTGGCCTTCATGCGCAGCACAGCCCAAGAAGAGAAGAATCAAGGCTTGATTCAGCCCATTCAGCTTGTGCCCTGACACAGACTCAGGCTGGGAGTCTGTGCAAGCCTCTCCTCTTGCCAACAGCCCACACAGTTCCTTGTTCAATTGGCAGAGTGCTGAAAAAATGAGTCTGGCACCGTCTCCATTTCCTGCATTCCCTAACCAAGTCTGGCACTGTGATAGTCAAAGGGAACCCTTCTTTGCTTCTTCCCTTAGTAATTCTGGCTCCAGGGCTGGACCAGCTTCCACAGCTGCTTTTATGCAATAGAGACTCACTCTGCTGCTCAACACATGACTGCCAACACTCTCCTTTCTCAAACCCTCCCTCTTAAAGAGCTTTTTTGCCTCAGCATAAAACATCTCGTATTTGTCACATTTCACATCTTCTCTATCTGTCAATTTCCTGCTGTGATTCCAGAGACTCTATTTTGGGCTCCCCATTGTTTTTTTTTATGCTGGCACACTCTGCAAACACAGATGCACAACCTCTGTTCCTGGGCAGGAAGATGGCAAGTGTTCTTAACTTTCCATTTAAATTTGAGCTTTCTCCTCTAATCTCAGCTCTGACAGACCTCCTCCAAACTGAAAGAGATCAAGGGAACGCTGGCAACTTAAACATCAGAAAGGCGATCAGAAATTATTTTCAAAAATATTTTCTCTTACCCTCCTTCGTCCAGCCTATGAAAGCTACTGCCCAAGAGGTTCCACTCCAGCTCTACTGTCTCTGTCTTTGTCCCTGCTTTGGTCACAGCTCTCTCCATTCTGGATTTCCCAAGCCATCCATCGTGCAACCACCCAACTCATCACCACTGCAGATGCTCAGAGGACACAGTTCCCCCTTCTGAGCTAATTTTTAAGTCTTGACTTCACACACTTCAGGCTGGTGTCTTTTGCAGAGCCCATTCTCCCCATCACAGGTGATTGCTCGCTCGCACAAAGCGCCTTCTTTCATGTTGTGCCCAGCAACGTTTCAAAGCCTTTCCACGTTTTGTAGGCAAATTCCTTCAACGCTCTCCCAAAATTCGTGCTGCAGTCCAAACCTTAAAACCAAACCCACGTCACCTAACTAAGAAAGCAGAGCAAACGTGCATGCAGAGAAAGCTACTAATGGATGGCTCCCAGCCCTCGAGTCTTCGCTGCGTCCCCTCTAGCAGCACTTTGTAAACCACCTCTGCACCTTCTTCCCTTGCTGTAAACCAAATCTTTCCGTGACCAGGAGCAAGTAACTCTTTTCCCACTCTGCTGCAACTCCATTTGCATGCCAAGGAAAGAATCCCAGAAGGTGAGATGAAAAGCATTGTATTTACTGTGCAGAGTCCAACACATAGCTACGAGCACCGCGCTAATGTGGGCAATGGTAATTCCCGGATTAAAGCGGTATTTACCTGGATGGAAGGGAAGGTCTTATTGTTTTCAGTACTGTGCTCTCCTGGAATGCTGCCTGCTGATCTTCCCTCACATTTGTATCTGAAACGCATGCCCCTTTGCCTGGGTTGCTCAAATATTTCAATGTAGGGCTCAGGGCCACCTTAAAAATAAAATATTTTCAACGTTAGGACACAGAGTTTAAAAAGCAGCAGAAGAGGCAAGAGTTAGAATTTCTAGACTTTTGATTCACATTACCATCTTTCCATTTGGTCTACCCTATCAGGAAATCTACTCTTTATTTTTATGTACGTGCACATGTTGAAGGTGGGGTACAAGGGAAGAGAACAGATTTGGATGAAACATCCACAGTATCAACACCATGGAAGTAATTAGCAAAAAAAGACACCCTTCCCTCCATCTCATCCAGAACTTAGCTTCTTATAACCATCGTCAAAGACGTGTCTGATGAAAGAAGATTTTATACAACAAAACCCAAATCACTATTCAACATTTTTAGGAATAATACAGTTATAAGAATGGCTGTCCTCTCCAAGCACTGGTACTGTCAACTGCTGTGTTCTCTTAAGCATCCTCTGAAAGGGAAGATGTTTGCTCAGAATTCATTGATTTAGTTCCTATCACAGTGCAGCAGAAACTATTCAAATTATGCAAAAAAAAACCCCATGCTCCTACTGGGTGGAATACTATCACTGTGAGCTCAAAAAATACCTGATTGCTCGTATTGAATTCTACATTTTGAGCTGCCCATCTCCCATGGGGCTGGTTTCTAGTTGCAGTATCTTCCCAGCCAAAGAAACCTCAGAAAAGCTATTGGGCAATTGTCAGAAGGGAGGTTTTCAGGAGACACAGAGTGATAGCTGAGCATAAGAGACAGCAGAACTCTTAAATGGGGGGGGTTAGAAAGACATTAGCAAGAGCCTAAGTACTTTTCAAGTGATGTTTTATTGCCAGACAGCAACAAGCTATTTCATATATCTCACTGAGAACATCAAACAGGACAGTCAATCAAACAGTGACAACAGTGGGATGGCATGTGAAAAGCAAACAACAGAGGCTAAGTAAATATTGTTGAAGTTGAATCATCACGGTGCTACACAATCAGAAGAACGTAGCTTATGGAAATGTCTACTGAGCTCTCTGTCATCTTCATATAATAGCATCCTCCTCAAGCAAGGCTGAGCATCACAAACAAACAGGACAGACAATATCCTGTGGCACAGCACTGAAAAAAAAGTGCTTGGACTTCAACATAAAAAGCAAAACAGTTATTAAATATATTGAAAGTGCTGAAAGGGTAAAAGAACCCCTACTTCCTTTTGCCCAAGGTCTGTGTGTGTGAATCCACAGCACACGGGTTTTGGCAGAGGTGGATTCCAACCCTAACTCCATAATAAAGGCTTCTCTTTTGCTGCACCTACAATGGTTTAGGCACCTCTGCCAACACGAAGCTTGAACTTCATGCCTGGGATTTGTTGATTGCAAAAGATTTCCAGTGCTGCAGCAGCTCATACCCAAAGTAGGAAAATATTATAACCTAAAAGTTAAAGTAAGTAAGAGCAGCAGAGAAGGGATGGATGGAAAAACGACATGTGAGACATCACCTCAGCCTGACCTGAATGCACATTTATCTGTCACACACCTACAAGCAGGGGAGGAACTGCACCTGCAGCTGTGTGAGAGCAGCTCTTATGCTGGGATGGTCTTCAACCACCAGAGCCTCTGCAAAACCTTCAAAAGCACAATGCACTTCCACTGGAGACTGTGTGTGCGGTCAAAACCTTTGGGAGCTGTGGGTCAGGACTCTTTATAGACCTTTCTAACAGTCAAAATGCAGTTTATAAACTGATCACCTCCCATCAGGTAGATTTTAAATAACTTTCTGAGCTGTCACATTAAATACACATTAGCTACTAGTTCTAGTCTAGGTGCAGTTCCTCAGGGGGATAGTCCCTTTTCTAGATACTCCCAGCTCTTTACCTAACACCCCTTTAGATGAGCTTTGCATATTTTCTTTCTGGAAAACAAGCAAAAGGGAAGGGGAAGGCAGGCATTGATAACAAAAAAGCCTAGAAATGACGTAAAGCTGGTTTCAGAGAGAGCAGAAGTCTGGGCTTCTCACAAAACCATGCTCACGCATCTGTGTATGGCTATTTTAACTTTCACACTTCAACTTACTTATGCTATTCATTGATCAGCTCAAATACAGACACGTATCCATACACTGAAGTAAAAATCTGTATTACAAGTTAAAATGACAACATGACAGCAGCATTACTGCCTACTAATCTAGCACTAATCTGGGAGATTCTCATGCTTACATAGCTGCTAAGCAGACGTGCAGGACACCCACAGACACTGTGTATTTGTCAGAAGCAGGCAGAGCCTCGCCGCTCGAAGCTACAAGAGCGCAATCACTTGAGGTCTTTAACTCTTGCTGCTTTAACCAACAATTTCCCTTCACGTTCTATCAACACTCGCTTGAGTGAGGACTATTTTCTCACCTCTCAAGAGCCCTTTATTTTAAGGCTCGTAGCTCAGTGATCTTTACAGGGCTGTGGTCGAAACAAATGCCATTGAAGGTAAACCCACCGCTCAGCCAGCAGCAGGTGTGTTTGTGGGAAAGTAAAGCTCGGTGACGCGGCAGCCTCCAGAGATTAAACATTAAACTTCATCTCGTCTTGGCTGCCTCTCTCTCTATTCAGGAATCACGTTATCACCTCTGCCGTGATTATCTGTGTCATCATGCTTTGTGTAGAGGGGAAAACACACAGAAGTGTTTGTGAGAATGAGAGGTATTACCAGCACTCTGCAGCCAAGCGTCCGGTGTACCCTATTTCTGTAAATCAGCAATGTGCTTGTCAAGTGGCACAGCTTAACTATGTCACAATCTGCTCTCTCACACACACAGAGGTCTGTTAGCTCCCACACAGTCACTACAGACCTGCCCTCCTCAGGTCTCGCTTTGTGTGTCAAACAAGTGTGAGATATGCCCAAACCCAAACTCTAATTCTGGAAGATTTACACAGCTATTCCTATTTATTACCTGCCTGCCCACAACTACTCCATAAAGCATTTGAAATGGAAGAAAATAAAAAAAAAAAATCTAGCTAATCCTTCATCTAAGTTCTTAAGAGTTTAATTTGTCTTTGTAATTAATTCTAATTGCCTATACACATGCTAGCAATAGAAACATTGTACTACACATTATAACCTGCCTGCCACTTTTTGTTATTGAATTGCTTTTTCCCCCTCCTGCCCTGAATATAACACTGAATAATTTTAGAGAGAATATAGGAGATCAAGTGTCCCGATTATAAATGCGAGGAAAAGAGGCAAAAGCAATGACAGCTCAGAGAGTTCAGCAAGGAGAAGAGGCAGAAGCAGTGACAGCTGTGGGAGTTCAGCCAGTTATGCTCATTCAAGGACTGAAGGGTGTTTTATTCTCGCATTTTGAGCAATACAAAGAGGAACAAAAGGACAATCCCTAGAACTCGGAACAGGCTTCCATCAGACCTCTCCATGACAAGAAACCTGTGAGAGTTTGAAGTTTAACACAGCCTGTGCCACGAGGAAGAAAGTGTGACACGCTGCCACCAAGCAAAGTGACAACCCGATCAAGGCTTCTGTCTCCTTCCTTTGCTCCAAGCAGGCAGGCTCTGGAGGAACTGCCCAATTTGTCATTCTCTTGCAGGGCCAGGAGTGCCCGGTGAACAGACTCTCCATCAACATGTGTGTGTGAAAGCAGAGCAGCTGTGGGTCTCTGTGGAAGATGTGAAAGTATCACCCGAAACCCTCCGGCCCGAGGTGACTGCACTGAGACACAGATGGGAGAAGCATCGCTCCTGAACTCTGATGTCACTGCTCTGAACAAATCCCCGGTGGCACCAAGTCTGTCGTTTCTAAAAAGCAAGGATCTACCCACTTGTAACCTTCTGCAACACCTCGGGCAAAGCGGGAGGATGGCAAAAGCTTTGTCACAGCACACCCCAATTTAAGCAAAAGCAACTGGAAACATAACACGATTTGATTTGAAAAAGCAGTAGTGTACCTACGGCTCCTTAAACTGCACAAATTCTAACAGAGACCAAACAACGCTCAGGAACTTCCTCTTTACTATCGCGAAACATTACAAAACGGCAACTAAAAGGGAAAAAAAAAAAAAAAACAAACCGACAAAAGCTAGCTAGTACCAGGAAGTTATAAACTTCCCCCGCTGAAAAAATTCCTTATCTGGTTCCTAATGACACTGAAAATACATAAAGACACGAAGAAAAAAAAAAAAAAAAAAAAAAATGTTTCCAAAACCCCTAAAAAAAAAAAAAAAACCCAAAAAAAAAAAAAAAAAAAAAAAAAAAGAAAAACAACAACCCGAAACTTCTCTGCCCTGCTTCATTGTTGCGACTTTAAAATACATCATAACATTTAAAGCACAAGCCCAGCTGTTTTCTCTCCGCGTTGATAGTTACACACCTATATATTTATCAGGAGTGAAAGTTCATACCTTGCTAAGTGGGAACAGAACACACACTCATGTTCTGAAAAGCTGCTTTGCCTAGAAATACTATTCTAATTAGTACAGCCAAGTGTTAAATTTAGGGGCTTTTTTTAACCCTAAGAAAGACACCAGAGGGACGCCTCCCGAAAGGATGACAAACTCGGTTTAATTTAGCCTCTAGAAACTTAATTGCGCATTTTGTTGTAATTACTCAAAGCACGATCCCTTATCTGCATTACTTTGCATCCGTGCCATCGCTATTTCTCATTCATTTGCATTCTCACAGCCGAGCTCCGATGTGAACGGGATCCCGGTGAGCACGACCCAACCTTCAGCCTGTTGTCTCCATCCCAGACAGGGACCCGGCGCTCGTTCAACACCTAAACGCCCCCACCCAATTTTAAGACCTAAGAGATCCATTAGAAACAGAGCAGCCCCGTAAGATCTCGTCGCGGCTCATCACCCACCGCCGCCCCGCAGCGCAAACGCCCAGCCAGGGAGGGCGGAGAGCGCCCGGCGCCCCCCGCCCGGCCCCGCCGCTGCTCACCGGCCATGCTGACAGCTCCGCTCCGGCCTCTGCGCCGCGGGGCTCCGGCCCGGGCCCGCACACCTCGCAGGGACACACGGACGGCCGCGGCTGCCGGGCTCGCCGCCCTTTTCAGGGGGAATTTCCCGTGGGGCGGGCGGGCGGACGTGCGCGCCGAGCCGCGGGGCGGTGCGGGGCCAAACCCCGCCCCGGCGGATCCGTCCCGCGGCACCGGGACACCCCGCTCCGGGACGGGCAGGCACAAGGCTGGCCGGCGGTCCTGCCCTGCCCGGTAGCCAGAAGTGCAAAGGAAAAGTTCATCTCTGATTTCAGAGCAGCGAGAGCGTGTCCCGCTCCGTGGGCATCGCCCCGACATCTCCGCTCCGTCAGCCAAGCGCTCTCCTTATCCATCTTTTTCTCGGTGGTCAGCCCGGGGAAGGGAAAGCTCCAGGCAAGACTGTACTGCTGCCTTCCAGTGCCTACCTAAGCCCCTCATGGGGTTTATAAGATGGACAAGGATAGACTTCCACCAAGGCCTGTAGCGACAGGGCAAGGAGGAATGGCTTCAAACTGGCAGAGGGCAGGGTTACATTAGATACTGATAAGGAACTCTTTACTGTGAGGGTGGTGAGGCAGTGGAACAAGCCTAGCCAGAGAAGCTGGCGATGCCCCATCCTTGGAAGTGTTCCGGGCCAGGCTGGATGGAGCTTGGAGCAGCCTGGTCTAGTGGAAAATGTTCCTGCCCAAAGCAGGGGGTCGGAACAAGACGGGCTTTGAATGCCCCTTGCAGCCCACTCTGATTGAATACCTAAGCTGTACGTACTAGGGATAGACCAAGATTGCAGGTAAGGTAAGAAATAATCACCAACAAGCCCATTCAGTCACAGTGATCAGCTCTAAATCTACCAAACCTTCGGAGCATCCCAGACCCTGCATCTCACAGCTTGGTGAAGCCAAGGAGCTGGACACTGGGAACAGCCCCATGTTTGGATCAGGTGGAGAGGTCAGTGACAAACAAACAAATCTGAGGGCAAATTAAAAAACACCTGAAAAAAGAGGAACAGGAAGGCCACACCTAGCTGTGGTGTAAGACTGCTTAGTTAACAATAAAATTTAAATTTTTTTTCTTAGATCTTTAATCTGGGAGTGGAATAAACCGTCCTGTGTGAAAATGCAGTTAAATCAATTAGTATCTCTGAGAAAGAAAGATTAATAAAACAATAAGAAAAGCCTGAAAGAACACTCAATTGAGGTACAAAACCAATAGGTTTTTGCTTTTTTCCCCCACTATCCTATTTCTAAAGCTAAGGTTATTGGGATGTACAGAAATGAAGAACAGCTGAAAATGCTGTTCTACAATCTGCAAATTCATACTCCAATCCATGTAAGTAAGCAGAAGAGGCTGCCAAATGCTTATTATTCTTCCTGATCTGTAGTCCATCTCAACAAGACTTTTCTTTCTAACCTTAGTTTTGGCTCAACTATCCTCATATTTCCTATAAACAAAAATTATCTTTCTCCACCCCACAAGCAAAACTTTCTTTATTAAAGATTCATGGCTTGCCACATGGTAGGATTGTTGCACCCCTGTCAAACTGATAACTGAAATTGGAGTAGAAGAATCCTAGGGAGAACACAGGATAATCAAAATGTCTGTGACATTAGCCTTAGATGATTGAAGAGAAGAACAACTACATTTTTCAGATGTTATAATAAAATAATTCTATGGCTGTGGGTTAGTTTCTTGTCAGAAGAATGCAATTTCTTATTTTCTTTCCCACAAAAAAAGCCAAAACTAAACAACACAAAAGATATAAACCAGCAATGCCCTAAAAGTGTAAGAAATTCAGACTAGACTTTCATGTTTTCAGGGATTTCTTGGATTCCCTATGATTGATAATGTACAATAAAGCAGGTATAATATTTTAAATCAAATTTAGACTTTGCCTACACAGGCATCTGTGACCACAAAGCACAAACTGACAAAGAGACCACAAATAAAATTGTGCTGCTCTACAACTAAGGCAGTAAATAGGAAAAGTGCCCAACCTGAATTCTCTCTGCTAAGTGCCCCATCCAAACAATCAGCTCACCAACACCTCATATTAGAAGATACTTTAGTTTTTAAGTTGATCACCTGGTGGTGGACGTTTTGTACAAGCCTTCATTCACAGGGCTGAACAGCCAGGGAAATGCTCCCAGTCTGAGGGCATCCCTGCAGATCACAGGAGTGACCTGGACAGGATTTTTAAAAGGAAAGTTCAGCAATTCCTGTGGGATAGCTGAAGCTGCAGATGTGAGTTTTGACTTTGGATGTAAAGGTAAACTAAATACTTTCCCTTACTTATCTCAGGCTGGTTTTCCAAATCTCTGATAGTAAAAACTGTGACATCTCAGAAAGAATTTATTTAGTTCCTTCCCTAAATACAGTTTATATCCCTGGTTCCCACCTATTTCTCCCACGACACTACTGAGTAAACACAGACCAGAGGACCAGGTAGACTGGCTCAAAACAGAAGTATCTATTGATTTCTTCAGAAGGAAAGTGTTAGTGTAGGGTACACAATCTAAACCGATGTGAAATTAAGGGCAATATTCCAGGCAATACAAATACTGTGTTATGACTAAAACATAGTAAACATTCCCTACTTTTCCCCAGCTCTTTTGAACTCTAACGCTCAGGGCTTGCAGGAACAGGCTACTCAAAGATAATCCTTAAGATTGCACGTTTGAAATTGGGGTGGTATCTCAGATACACAGCAGGGTCTTTGGTACAAACTGCTCCTTGACATTATTTTAAAGAAAAAATACAAATGGATTGCACTTCTTATAGCATCCCAAAAGCTTTATCTCTCTTCCTTGAAATGAAAACAACTTGTGATAAATAACCAACCGTGTGAAGAGTTGCACTGTGTAAAATCTGTGAGCTCCCATCATCAGAATACAGAGATCTGGCTCAGGAGGATCTGAACAAAGTGACTGGAGGAAGGACAGCACGAAAAGGAGATGTTTTCTTGATGTTTTTTTCTCCAGCAGTAGCCACAAGCAATGGCCAGGGAAAAGCACAACAGTGGGACAAAAGGAGTTTTTAGTCTAAGACCAGCATAGCTGTTTTTATAAAACAGTCTATGGAAACCAAGAAGCCTTCCAAGAAAAAGGCAAAAACCTAAGCAAATGGAAGAGGCCTTACTCAAAGTTGTGCAAGCATGAGGACATTCCTCTACTCCTGACTACCCTGTATGCAACTCTGCTCTGCTGCCATCGGAATCCCTGGCACAGGAATTATCCCGGGAGAGTGAGGTGAACGAGAGGATTGCAGTACAGCTTTGGCAATCACAGAAACCTCATCAGCAACTGCCATGAAGTGTAAGAACATGTCATAGCTTTGGGTATATGCAGATCTCTGCAAAAAGCAGGACGGAATTCCCCTCCTGCAGCATTGCATAACAAAATCCAGGTGCTTCACTATTATTTTTGTCAGCTGACTTTGGCTATAGCCAGAGGTGAGATACCAGAATTCTTAGGCCAGTCTGATCCAGTGCTTCACTTCCTGTCTTCCAGTTAAAGCAAGTGTTTTAAGATCCCATTTCTCTCCACTTGTCAAGTCCAAAGACAAGTCCTTCAGTGGTGCTTAGCACAGGCATTGCCCAACGAAGCTGGCTGTGACAGGAGAGCAGCACAGGCGAGCCATTAAGTCTTTATTTCCTGTTCCCAGCTATCTGACTTCGATCAAAGATAAGGCTCTTGTCACTGGCCTGGTTAAGCAGACACTAAGGTACTTTCAGCATATGGCTCTCCTAATAAGGTGCATCACTAGGAGCAAGAATAGTACTAATAAAGTCATTCTACTCTCTCCTTAAGGAACAAAGTTAAGTCCTGTTTTCTTGCCCACTCTATCTCAAGCCTCACCTACTGCCAGATTAGAAATTTCCACTCCTCTATGCCTTAAGAAACTTTTTGCTGTTAGAAGTATGACTTTAATCTCAAAGGCGTCTTACTTAAACACTGTCAGACCTTTTGGTGGTTAAAGCTTTTGTGGTTATTGGTCCTGAGAAAGGCTCCAATGCAGAAGCCATTCTCAAAAAACTCATGGCTTCCAGATTAATGATAAACTCAAAGGCTGTTTAAGTCACTCTGCTGGAAGTGTTCCTGTACCACACTTCGAGTTTGTTTGACATTAGAACAATGCTACTGTGCCTCCCTCAAAACAGGGTGGAGAGAAAGGAAATGCTAATAGAGAAAGGTAGGTCTTGTGGATAAGGCACAAGGCTGTGATTCAGGAGACTGGAATTTGGCTCTTGGCAAGTCAGCCTTTCTACTCTTAGGCAAGTTGTTTAATTCTCTAAGCCTCAATTTCCCCAATAAAAATCAGAGAAGTTACTTCCTTGCTCCCACACTTCTGCCTTATTCACTCATGATGCAACTTCTTCAGGGACTGAACAGCTCACTACATGAAAGTGCCAAGCACAAAACAATGACAGTTAAATGAACACTGGGGTAGTGCCAGAAAAAGTGTCCCCTTGACAGACTCTCTTGTCAGAGAGGGTCCCCTCTCTGTCTCCATCCATCCAGGTAACTCACGCCTGTGCATTCCTACACTGTTCCAAGCACTCCTTTGGAGACACAGGAGCATGCTTAACAGTAATCTGGAGGAAACAAGCTTATTGGTTTTTTTTCTGCTGGAGCCAGTTCCATGTGCAATCACAGAAATGACGCTGCCAGCAGGAAGGAATGTGGTGGCACCAAGGCCAGAACAAGTTTCTGGAAGACAAATTTGGGCAGAGGTGCCTGCTTCCTGACAGAGTGCGAACGTCATGGAACTGTAGCACAACGCTGTATTTTTAGCCTGAGAAATTGATAAACCTCCCTGAAATGTATAATTCACACTCCTTCCTTTCCAGAGCTGGTACTCAGAGCAGAACTTCTCAGGCACTTTCTCCCCCAGCTCCCCCAAGCATTTCCTATTCCCTTCCACTCATCCCAGTGCTATAAACACATACCACGGTTTGGGAGTTATGTTATTTAACAGAGAAGAATTTAAATGTTTGTTGGCAGGCAAAGAAAAAGATGGAGTAGTGTTTTCATTTGCCACTGTGCTACATAAAACACAGT